TACTCGTATGCCATTGTTTACATCGATGATGTTTTGATTGTAGCAGGCACTAAAGAAGAGGCATTTCATAGATTAAAGGTGGTATTGGAACTTCTGACCAACGCCGGATTTTCTTTCAATGTAAAGAAATGCACATTCCTCAAACCTAATGTTGAATATTTGGGTTATCAAGTCGAAGATGGTGAAATTAAACCTAATTCTCGGAAGATACATGCCTTGGCAGCGTTATCACAACCGCAATCAGTTACACAGCTGAGGCAATTTATAGGTTTGGCATCATACTTTCGACAATTTGTGCCACAATTTTCAGAGCAAATGAAGCCACTATATCACCTCACCTCCAAGAATGGTAGCTTCCATTGGAAGCCAGAACACGAGTGTATACGTCAAAAGATTATTACCATATTAACTAACGAGCCGGTTTTGATCATTTTTGATCCACAGTATCCCATAGAGCTGCACACTGATGCGAGCTCAGAAGGCTATGGAGCAATACTTATGCAAAAATTAGAAGGCAAAACAAGGGTAGTCGAGTATTATAGCAAGTGCACAACCAGTACGGAATCCAAGTATCACTCGTACGAGTTGGAGACGCTAGCCGTATTTAATGCAGTTAAACATTTCCGTCATTATCTTCATGGAAAGAAATTTATAGTGTATACGGATTGTAACTCATTAAAGGCTAGTCGTTCCAAAATTGATTTAACTCCACGGGTGCATAGATGGTGGGCATATTTACAATCATTCGACTTCACAGTCGAATACAGGAAAGGGAATCGCATGTTGCATGCAGATTTTCTTTCAAGAAATCCTATCCCTGCTGAAGCAAAGACCGTCAAAAATATTACTGAGAAACGTGTAGACTTGGCTGAGCTGACTGACAATTGGCTGATTGCTGAACAACAGCGAGATCCAGATTTGTCTGTTTTAATTTCTAAATTGCACAATAATGAGCTTAATGAGGACATGGCAAGAACGTATGAAATGAGATCTGGTATACTGCATAGAAAGATTCAAAGAAATGGTAGAACGCGCTGCTTGCCAGTGGTACCAAGAGCATATAGGTGGTCCGTAATAAATCACGTACACGAAGCCATAATGCATTTAGGTTGGGAGAAAACATTAGATAAGGTATACACCTACTATTGGTTCGAGAATATGTCAAAATATGTGCGTAGGTTTGTAGAAAACTGTATAACGTGCAAGGTATCAAAGTCATCCTCGGGCAAGATTCAGGCAGAAATGCATCCGATACCCAAGGTGGAAATACCGTGGCATACAATACACATTGATATAAGTGGCAAACTAAGTGGCAAAAACGATTTGAAGGAGTATGTCATAGTACAAGTAGACGCATTTACTAAATTTGTTTACTTTTATCACACATTAAATTTGGACACGGAAAGTTGTATAAAAGCGGTCAAATCAGCAATATCCATTTTTGGCGTGCCTACGCGTATTATTGCTGATCAGGGTAGGAGCTTTGCCAGCGCCGCTTTTCGAGAATTTTGTTCATCACAAAACGTTAACTTACATTTGATAGCTACGGGAGCGAGTCGTGCGAATGGACAGGTAGAGCGCGTAATGGGCACTATGAAAAATATGCTGACAGCAGTTGAAACGAGCGAGCGTTCCTGGCAAGAAGCATTAGATGAAGTACAGTTGGCCATAAATTGCACGACAAATCGAGTAACAAAAGTTAGTCCATTGGAATTATTGATAGGCAAAGAGGCTAGACCACTAGGCTTAGTGCCAATGATAAATGAAGAAAAAGTTGATGTTGATTGTTTAAGAAAGCAGGCCAAAGAAAATATGTTAAAAAATGCTAACTATGATAAAGCTAGATTTGATCAAAATAAGGCAAAGATTGTTAAGCATAAGGTTGGAGATCATGTTTTGCTCAAAAGTGAAGAGCGGCACCAAACAAAGCTTGACCCCAAATTTAAGGGACCGTTTGTCGTGATTGAAGTGCTTGATGGTGACCGATATAAATTAAAGTCCTTGATAAGTAAGAGGACATACAAGTATGCCCATGAGTATTTGCGACCGTTACCAGATAGTCAAGTTACTGCAGAGTTGGAAGATGTGGAGGGTGGTAATGCAGAAGAAGGCATTGGCCAAAGCCCAAGCTCCCACCAGTGACGATGTAGTATTGTCATACACAAGGACCACGCCCGTACCACTAAGTTATACCGATGGCACAAGTGTAGACGGAGGGTGTCTATCATGGCGTGCGGCGCGGTTGTCGTGGTAGAGAACATGTGACTTAAAGTGATCATGTTGCAAGGGCAAGTGGAGTCCATGAGTTGTGGTATGATAGAGAGATATCCAGATGTTCGGGTTTTCGCAGAAGAGTACGAGCTACTGGTTGGCACAGCCGCAAATGTGTGTGAATGCCTGCAAAACCGTCATTTGAAGACACATCTTGCAAAGAAGTGTTAAATAAACGAAGTAACGATAAACTTATGGTAAATTGAAGCGCAATACTTGAATTGATTGACTATATATAGTATAATAAAAAAAAAAAAAAAATATTGAGCAAGGCATGAAGCCGACGTTTGAATAAGTTTTGTTCGAATAAGTTTTATTTGAATAAGTTTTGTTTTGCTAATTTCATTATGATAAGATACTACACGAGGACGTGTAAGAGCCAGGAAGGCCGTGTAGAAGAATAACACTAAATAAAGAAATGTAAATCATTAAATGATGTTGTGTGTAAAACAAATACAAAGAGAATGTGTCATGTGATCGGCTTGCAGGCTATAATAAGAGCAGGGTTTAAGAGCAAATATTGCCTTAGCCGAGCAAAGCGCATTGTTGTTGTCTAGGCAGTTGAGAAAAGGAAATGTCAAAGAACAAAAAGGAAGAGTAGAACGAGTAAGACAACGAGCCTCGAGAGAGCAGTGATGCAAGTCAGTCTGCTTCAAGAAGTCAAAGGCAACACTACCAGTGCGAATTGCTGTGCTCAAGTAAAGAAAATGGCCGAACAGCGCGTCACGCCGCGCGAATTATCCAACCCTTCTCCGACATATATGTACCTATGTATAATGCAATATCAGTGTTTTTGTTTCCTTTTAGATTGAAAAGCATTTTATTTCATTATCAAAATGACTTTGTTGCTGGACTAAGAGTGTTACTGTTTTCAAATGTTGGAAAAAATTGTTTATATATATATATATGTATATCATACTTTGTACAGATAAAATGTTGTGTTGTTTTTACAATTTTTTCACTGCGTGCGGCATTTTGTTTTTCACAATTACACGTATTCTTTATAAGTATGGTTTGGTTTTGACATTCACCTAAATTTGCTTTTGTCCGTCGTATTTCTTATTACATTAGTAATAGTTGCTATATTTTAGTTGATTTAACTATTTTCTTATTGCAAAGCAAAAATATATATATGCATATATACATATATTTAGGTTCTTGGCAAATCTTAAAAGTGTTTTGTTTATCGTTTTAAAATCAGCTCCTTGCCACTATAAATATAATTCGGCTTGTTTTTGGTGCATTTATGCAATATAATTGTTTCTTTTTCAGTTTTTCCCGCTTTTTCTTTTTCATAATCTTAGTTGTTTATTGTTAAGAAGCAGCCTGTCAGTTTGCTCAATGACGGTTTGTTGAGACGCATGAAAGTTTGCATTTGATTTTTACACATAATCCATAAAAATAAAACATTTAAGACTATTTCCGTTTCCGATCACAAATGTAAAATCGATTTGACGATAAGCTCAAATATTCACGAAGCCGAATTTTAAGTTGGCACGCAAATTATTTGCATGTGTGGCCATAGCTTTTGTTTGAACAAATGGGAAATGCAGTCGAATTCGGAAACGGATACAGTGCTTATTATTTTTTATACAGGAGGTGGTGGTGGTGCAAAGTTTTGTGTTTCGAAACAAATAGCTACCGCTAAACAATTCTCACATACGGTGTAAAATTACAAAATATATGTACTTGTAGTCATACATTAATTACAATGTTATATAGTATATGTGTATATAAAGTCGTCACATAATAAATATAGCAAATATATCTTTAATTCTCTAATTCTCTTGCTACTTAAGATTATTGTACACAAAAGCAAATCAGAATCAATTTTTAAATGATACGAAAAAGAGTTAACGAAGAAACAATAAATCCGGGTGGTAGCCCCCACTCAACCCACTCTACTGGTACTCATCATCACTGCTCAGCAGCATCGTCTTCTCGTTGTAGTTCTGACTGATGGTCGCCACACGCTGCCCTCCCGGCATGAATTTGCGTTGATTTCCGAGCGTCTTGGATGCCACACAGCCGCTATTATTTCCGGTTGCCACCGCATTGTAGCCCCCGCTGCTGGCCGTATTTCCCGGAGCTCCTGTTGCGCCTGCGCCCACCTGGCCAGCGCTCGGATCGTCTGGATCGTAGCTGGAGACGCGTATGCCGCGCGAGTTCTTTCCACCTGTGCGATTAGTATTTCTTGTAAGTGTGGGACTTGCTTTATAGGTAGAAATATATGTATATATGTACAAAAATCGAGATCGAGAACAAGAACGAGTACGAGAAGAGGAAAAAGTCATGCCGCAAACACAAACATGCAAAAAGGCAAAGCAGATATTTTTGTTGTTGGTTTTCTTTTTTGTCTTGAAGCTTAACATTTATCATTTTATTTAATACATCATAGATATTTGATATTTTTTACAATTGGTTTTTAACATTTACAGAAGTTGAAAAAAAACACACGCATTTAGTTTTCAAGTCGTCTATCACAAAAAGTGGGGAGGGGATGTTTCAAGGAAGTGAATAAAAATTATATATATATTTTTTTTTTGTTTAACTGCTTTTTCTGCATTTTCATTGAGCTAAGCGTTAAAATTGTAAAGGTTTGGTCTTAAATGCAATAGAAAAGCGTCCGTTTGAAACAAATAAAGACGCTAGGGATTGACAGTTTAGTGTTATTTCCCTAGAGATAAGCGTGCGTTTCGATCTAGGCTAGCATTATTAGTTAATCGGAATTGCAATTCTCATCTTTTTTTATACAGAAACGGATGTTACACATATAGGTATATAATAAAATCTTTGTTTGAACATACAAAATATTGTACAATATTATTTATATATTTATATATATATAAGTACATAATTGCAAATTTTTATGCATAGGTTCTAACTTGTAAATAATTTGAAAAAATGCTTAAACGTAAAAATTGTACACACAAAAGAGCGGAACAGAACTAGAAATTAAATTCAAGTATATGTATATATATATATAGAAGTGTAGTACGTATGGAAAATTTCTGAATGTTTCTTGCTCGAGTGAGTTCCTGCTAAGCTCATACTCCTGCCAAGATCTAAGTACAATTTGAAGAGTTTTGAGTGCTACCTTGGCAGAGCCCTAAATGAAGTTGCAAAGTACGGAGAAGTTTCCAATCAACGGCAAACAGTAGTTGGTTGATAATTGAAATGAAAGCCTCTTCCTACTTTGCATCTACAATACGTATTTAGCTGTATAGCTGTAGTTCTTTTCTTTTTTAGTGTATCGCGTCTAACGTACAACATTGAAAGGCAACCGCGGTATTCGGGCAATCGATAGCCCCACTACTAAGTACACTTATGCATTTCGATTTTACGTTCTTGGTTCTACGTGTTTTGTTTTTTTGGAATTTAAAATTAGTGTTTAGTAGCAGCTTGCTTGGTGCTGTCTGTACTTTGCTTGTTTAGAGCTTTTCATAACGTTGAGTTGAGGTTACTTCTGCAAAAAGAAAGAAAACGGAAAAAGAAAAAAATAAAACAATGATAAACAAATGGTATGAAATGAGAGAGTTACAAAATTATAGATTTCAATGATATTTTATCTAGTTTATACGAAAATATATAATACTTTAGCGAGCGAATACTTTCGAGAACGTGCAATAAACATTCAAACAAATAAACACTGCGAGCACAAAGTAAGAAGAAAAAGAAGAGAAGCTTTGTAAAAGGCTTACCCGAACTGTACTGCGTGTATTGCTGGTATTGCGGATGGAAATTGTGTATAGCATCAGTCATAATATCCTTGGGATTCATGGTTTCCTGCAAAAAATTGAACAGAAACATTAACGAATTGAAATATAAGGAAAGAAAATTCAGGCTTCCATTTCCGATTTCGATCAAATCATCAAAGGAACAAATTTTCCTTCGCTTTAAGGAAAATAAAAATTTATTGAATTCGGATACAGTAGCAGTAGCGAAACAGGTAACAGGTGGTTCGATCTGGCAGTTCCTACCATATTATTCTGAATACTTATTGAAAAAAAAATTAAGGAGAAGGGGAAAATAATTGCTGGATAATAATTTTCCTCCATCTTTGCTTCTAAATTCATTTAAGATACCAATTTGAAACAAAAATCTTAGCTTTTGTATAGTATACACAATTTTCTCATTTTTCAAAGATAACAAAAAATGAAGAAACTGTATAAAAAATGGGTTCCACAACTAAGTTAAAATTCCATTAATTCAGTAAGAGATATGTTGTGAAAGTTTAAGAACACACCCAAGAGGGAATAAACTTAAATATTAATTTGAAGCCCTTATTGAAGTCAAGTTAGACATGATTCAGTTTAAAATTTGTTACAAAAAAAAAAAAAAAATAATAATAACAATGCCTAGGGATTAGGAGCCGTTTCTGAAATCTGAACGAACGGTCATGTTCAGATCGATTTGTATTGAGATGGGAGATGTTTTCTGCTGCTCTAAGATGCCACAACTGTCCCATTTCACTAAAATCATTCTTCGTAGCAAAAGTGTCTGAATTTTGAAAATATTGTACGCATATTTTAATTACTTTTAGACTGCTGGAAATGGACTGCATGGTCACCGAACGTCCATGGCCGTCGCCAATACAGCTGCGAGCATAGACCTGTGGGGGAAGCAGGGAAAATAATACTTTAGAATGTATGAGTCAACCAATAAGCATGTCAGGTGTGATTTGAAAAGCGATTTCGACACGTTGCCGCATTCTTCGGGCGAAAGCTTATCTTATCACGCACCTAATTGTTGTCAAATAACTGTCAAATCACGACACTCACCTGATATGGGAACGCATATCGCAGCGCTATGGCTGCGAACAGCATTTCAATGCATATGAAGAAGTTCTGGTAGCCCGCAGAGACGGTACCAGCGGCCGATGTGACAGTGCCCGCACTGTCGACAATGGGCGAGATGACCTTCGCCTTTTCCAGTATGGCCAGACCCACGCCCTGCCAGAAGGACAAGAATATGACGGACTTGATGGTGCAGAACTTCAAGACGGGATCGAAGGGCGTCAGCAAATCTCGGGTAGCAAAGTAGAAGAGATAGAGGCCGTACAAGGCAAGCGAAACGGAAATGTTGTAGATAATTGTGATGTAGATATAGCCACCATCGGCGCTGTAAAAGACAAAAAAAGGAAACATTAGAACTGTGATTTAAATGATAATCAAAATATTAATATTAAAGATAATAAAGCAAATTAGAGATTACATTTCCTTCCTCACATCCGGTTTTCTCTTAGGGGACCAACATAGAAAGATTGTTCAAATGAAAGTAAAATTTGAAGACATTCATACGAACGTTTACATTCTATGTTTTGTATATAAGCTTTGATCCGATTTAAATCTACTTATGGAATTAAAAAAAACTATTCAAACTCTTCCAGAATCAATCAATCAACATTTGAACATGATCGGTTAAATTATATTTGGTTTTTACCCCACTTGTGGGTCGAATTCCCAAAACAAAAATTTGTAATTCACGTAATTAAATAAATCAATCAAAATGAGAGCTAATATGGTGTTTTGCCTGTGTTTGTCTGGGATTTTACCCCATTTGTTTGTGATTACAAGAGATTAAATGGATTCTAACAGAAAGCCTGAAATCCTGCGAACGAAATTTAAAAATTTTTTTGCAATAGTACGGCAACAAAATGGATCAGTCTTCTTTCCAATTCATATTGTGTTTGAATAGAAATCTCTGCAATTTAAAACTCACCTCCAATCGCCGTCGTGATAGTGTCCGAACGCCTGCAGAAAAATGATGATAAAAGCCACAAGAGGCTTGACGAGACAGAACTGTAGCGTTGCCTGCTTGCAGAATCGCAGAAAGCCAATGGTGTATGTCTTGCCCTTTAGACAGCATGTTCCGTAAAGGCAGGACGTCTTGATGGGCTTGCCACGAATCTCGGACATAATGTTGCCCTCACCGCCCAGATATTCATAGCACAGCGACAAAAAGTTATAAATGACGAAGGCTAGAAGAGAATGAACTCAGAATTATTTGGGACTCATTTGAATTTGTGAAATAATTGATTACTCACCCTCGTAGCAATCGCGCACCGTAAAGAAATAAATATAGACATTGTCCGAGTTGAAGAACAACAGACTTATCCACGAATATGTCGCATAAATGGGCACAATAAAGAGTATGCGTACAATCCAGCGCTGCTCCTGCGGATTCGTATACCAGCGCAGATGCTGATAGATCTGCAATAAGTGAAGCGTGTTATTTGTTGTTTATTTTTATTTTTTATGATTCTTTCTCACCTGTTGGCATGTGACGAAAAGTGCGGCCCAAACACAAACCCCCGCCAGCACTTGGGCGGTTTTTGTTTGCAAAAATATGCCATCGCCCATATGACTGAGCTGATCCAACGGCGCACTCACCTCCTCCTTCATTTGGACTACGTAATTGCTGCTGGATTTCAGTGTGGTTGCAGTGCTTGCGTTGCCAGCAGCACCGCCGCTGCTTGCGTTTAAAGCCGCCTCTATGAGACTGGCAGCCGTTGTGCTCATGCTGAAGGCGATTAAGAAAATAGGTGTGGAGTTGCATTACTAAACAATTCAAACAATGGTCAACAAAGTGTTTGCTTAATCAGCAATTATATGTATTATATAATAAATTTACTTCGGTTGCACTCACCTTACCCCTTTAACAATACCCATTAAGTTGAGAAAACAAATAAAACAAAGAAATGACTTAAAAATCAGAGCAAAAATGAAAAAGGTTACGTAGGTGGCGAGGCGACTTCTGCCCCCTTACTTTCCTTCAGCAAATTTTTACCACAAACAAGTAAAAAAGCTAAAGTCGGGTATCCCGACTTTGAAATACTCTGTACATATGTTTACAATAATTATAGAAAATAAAAAAAAATTAAGAAAATAAAAAAAAAAAATTTGATCGATTTTACCTCTCTCGGTATTCGAACTCACGTTAAGGGTTTATAATTGCACATTTACATAGCAATTGCGCCTGTGTGAGTGTATGTATGCCTATGCGCATCTATTCGTGTCTGTGTAAGCATTTTCGTCAACCAAACAGCAACATCAACAACAGCCGCGGGCAGCGCTTGAGCAGCGCTGCAGCAGCAAATATATTTATGGCTATAACTTCTTGTTAAATCGGTCTATCATAATGAAACTTGGCACACGGACACATAGTAACCAACTGGGGCTATTTCCACATTTTTCAGCTCCCGCAAACCTAATATACTTCTGTACATGGATACCAAGTTTGGTTATTCTTGCTCTTATACTTTCTGAAGTCCTTGCGTTCATACAGACAGACAGACGGACGGACATGGCTATATCGACTCGTCTTGTCACGCTGATCAAGTATATATGTATATGTATACTTTGTGGGGTTTGCCACGCCTCCTTCTGCCTGTTACATACATTCGCACAAAACTAGTATACCCTTTTGCCCTTTGGGTACAGGGTATAATGCAATGAAATTATTGATGGAAAAAGCAAAACATTCTGCGATTTCCATTTCTGTAGTAAAGCAGTCTGAAGTTTCGTTTACGGTATGGTCAAATATGCAAACGAATTTATCGAATCGCAAAAATGGTCTTACTGTTATTTCAATTAAAACTAAAAAGAACTCTGTACACAAATAAATTGTGTTCATTCCAAACCCATGATAGAATGCATTTGAATTTATTTTCTGGGATAAACATAATGACGTAAAGCTGCCTCGAAAAGCTAGTGGAAGACAACAAATCTGCTTGTGCAACTCAACTAGAAACTGCAAACAAATGGGTCAACGAAATTTAAAACATAAATGGGCATTATTAGATCATCGTATATGGACACGCACACAAGAGACACGCAAAGCGAAACAGAAACTATTGGGAGTGGGTGGGCTTCCGAGTCACCAAATATTCATATACATACAAACAAACATACTATAAGGTCGAAAGGTGCCGCGGGCACGTTGGCTACGGTGTTAGCACACCTAGGCGTCTCAGGGTCAACTGTAAAGTTCTATCGATTTCTTGGCGCGCGAATCAATAATGTTGGTGGGAATGGAAGGCAACTCAGTCGTTAATCCAATGGCAAAGCAAATTGCTAATTATATGCGATGCGGTCTTCGACAGCAATGCCTGGGAGTTCATTCAACTGAAATCGGATGAATCGAAAGTGAGCAGAATGTAAAAATAAAACTGCAAATGGAAAATATAATTAGAATGCGATGCAACAGTTTTAAAGAGCAAATGAATGTCTACAAAATTAGTGTTCAATGGGGTTCAATTACGGGTCTGCCAACTTGTGATCACGGTAAAGAAATTGTAGAGATTAGTTAAGGAGCAAACCATCGACAGGAAATCTACAAAGCAGGAAAATGACTTCCCCTCCCAAACAGCGCTCCACTGCAAAATCATGGATGTCTACAAAGCATTCATGCCAATATGGCCGACAATTTGCACAATGGACGAATTCAACTAACGAACGAACTACAACTATTTTTATTTTCGTTTTCGGTGGGTGGGAGACTAAGTCTACATTTTGAAATTCATTTGTGTATGTTTTAAGGAACTGTACGTTTGTTAGATAGAAGCGCCGCAACTTAGGCGGAAGTCGATGAGCCGACAGAGGACTTGGAGTTGCGCAACGAGATCGAGCGACGACGCTTGTCGGACTCTCGCTTAGCCTTTGACTCCTTTTTGCGCATGGCCAAAAGCTTAGCATATTCAGCTGCAGCCGTCTTGGAATCGAGGCGACGCTTCTTCTTAATGGCCGCCAACTTGCGCTTGCGTTGCAAAACAATTGGAGTAATTAGACGCTGTATTTTCGGAGCCTTGGTGGTGGCCTTCTTCTTGTCGGTGGCCGGCAACGGACGACGAACCACAAAGGCGCAGACATTGTCCTCCTTGCTCAGATTATACAGCTTGCGTATCTTGCTAGCGCGTTTCGGTCCCAAACGACGTGGCTTAGTGGTATCAGTTAAGCCGGGAATATCCTCCTCACCCTTCTTGACAATGACCAGCGAGAGCACCGACATATTGGCGTCCACAATGCAGCCACGCACAGACTTGCGTTTGCGTTCGCCATCGCGGCGGGGACGATAGCAGGAGTGATCCTTCTGCAGCAGCAAACGCACGCGTGTGTTGGTCAACACGCCCTGCTTCATCGGGAAGCCTTGCTTGTCGTTTCCGCCCGTAATGCGGAGCACATAACCCTTCCATTCATCGCCCAGGTTGTCGACTTCAACCAAAGCACCCATGCGCTTATCATAGAAAATGCGCAACTTGTGTTCGTCGGTCACCTCAAAGAGCTTCTGGCAGCCACTGGCTGGGTAAGCAATATTCAACTTCATTTTCTGGCTAAAGAGAAAAGACGTGATACATATACATATGTGAGGCGAGAATTGCAATTTAAATACATATATGTATGTATGTACATATGTATGTATGATCATATAACGATGCAATGTTTTACACAAATTTGGAAAAATACAAAACCCGTTGCTGTTCGAGCCAAAATAACGCTAATGACTCAGTAATTTTTTTTTACCTTTGACGCTGCGAACTCACAAAGCAGTTGGAAGACCGTAAAAACCGTTAACAAAGGCAAGCACAACTTTTTTTTTTTGAGTGCGTGTACAATTGTTTGACACTGAAACCTACAAGTGATGGAACAACCTAAAATTCAATCCGCGTCTGTATAAACAAAGTAATAATGTGGCGAAGTAGACGAGCCACAGCCAGCAGCAGCTATCAAAATAGCGAACACAAAGCGAATGCGGAAAAGCAACAACAAGTTGCTGCGCTGAAGATACACAGAAATTGGCATCGTCGTGTGCGAAGAAGAAGTCTCCAAGGCAAGCAAAAGTCTACACATTTGGCACAAATGGAGTGGCGGAAGCGAAGTGACAAGAAAATGCCAGTATTGAGTATTGTATATGGTAATGGAAATGGCAACGAAAGGGAGACCAGACAATATGGCAGTACTAATTACATATTTGCATTTACTGACTTTGTTGTTGTGCTTTGGCGGCAGGCACGAGCCTTGCAAGGCTTCAGCAATTTTAATTGATTTTTGGGCAAGTCCAGTAAAAACAAACACATGTCTGTTTCTGTTTGTGTGAAGCACCCACACGTAAATAAATAAACGAACAGCAGCACATTAAATGCCAACATATGCGACCTTTGACGATCTGGTAGTCGTCGTCGTGTTGTTGGGAAAGAGTGTACGACGGCAGGCGCTGCTTATCAAGCACAGGCATGCACACACAAACATACACTTAACACTCACACCTGCTTATCAATGCGAAAAAATTACGTTTAGACGCAGAAAAACGAAAATAAACTCGCACACACACTAAACTCGGGCTTCATCATTTCGTCATCGAATATGGGTATTTAACGAATCACCGTTTCAGGGAAAACAACTTTTCAACACTCGCACACACATGCACTAATTAACGCAAAATGTTTTCGCATGCAACTTCATCTACTTTCGATTAATTACCTTTATTAAATGCAACTCTCCACAACTCGCTTTTGCGTTTTCACAAACGAACCAAAAATTCCGTTTAGTTTTCTTCAACTACTCTTTTCTTGCTGCGACGCCGACTGCGACCGCGCTGTGAACTGACGTCGTCGTCTATTGTCTGCAGGCGACAAATGAAAGAAAGAATTTTATGCTTTATTTTACTCGTTTCTCCGAAACGAAAATAAACCAAGCTACTTAAGCACAATAATTGCAATAATTTTTCTAGGTATTTTAATCGCTTTTGATTTTTAAATTTTTTTGGTAAGCAACAAATTCTTAATTACGCACGGCTCTACGGTTGAGAAAAACTGCGACTGGCAGCAAGAAACAGATGACCCATAAAATACCAAAACGCTTTGCAACTCGATATTCCTTATATTCAATTGCTTGATAATTTATAAATATACTGTATGTACTATCGAATATGAATAGCGCTGTTAAGCAAATGTGTGTCTTAGAATCAACGGAAATAGTGTTTTTTGTAAGTTGTATTTTGTGTATCCAAAAACTGGAAACCATGTCTTCTCAATATTGTGAAACAAAGGTAAATATATCCTACTAATTTTTGATAACGGCAGTATATCTAATATCAATTCATTTATTCAAAAGCTGATAGTATCAAGGTTGGTTTATTTCCAACTCTGAATGATTGCAATACGTGCCACAAGGTACTATAAATTCTCATACTATTTACTGACGAAAAGTTTTTCAAAAAAATGTTAAATACATTCACATTTCGTTCGGTACTACAAACGGCGATACTATCAATAAACGAACAAAAAAATAACGTTATCGATACTATAGTTCGTAACATCGATGCCTTCGACAACCCTATTGCTGCAGACGCCATTTTGCTTTTCACTACTTTTTTTTACTACTCATCAATTACTACACATTGATTTTGCTGTCCGTGTTGCGACGAAATTTGCATTTTCTCAACAATAAACAAAGGAAATTCTGAAAATAAATATAGATTTCGCCTCAAAACGAGCCTTTCTGTCTTTTGTGCTTGGTCCTAAATAAGTTGAGTTGCGTATTTATTGTTTGCATTGGTGAGTAAAAGTTCATTGAATAAAAATCCAAAGTACGTAGCGAAAAGAAAATAGTTTCACAACTTCGACGCCGCCACGCAGCGGCCGCATCACAACAACAAAACCATTAACCACGTTACATTTCGTAATTGAAATACAAAAAATAATTGAGGACAAAGTACAGTGCAACCCGAGCCTCAGATAAGCCACATAACTAGGCGCGTGGCATTGCATGCTCGCTGCTGCCATCGATTTTTCAGGCTGCGCTCTGTACTTGGAAGGCTTTTAATCAATACATACATATGTACACACATACATACAAGCATGTATGTAGTACTTAGGAAATTGCGAACACAACAAACAAATCTTAACCAAGAACAAAAGTACATTATTTTAATACTTTAAGCCGCGCGATCGAAATGTGTTCGGACGATTTTGGCCGCCGCCAATAAAGACATTTGGGCGATAAGCTGGTGGCTGTGAAGCGGGCAGCGGTGGTGGCGTTGGCGGACCGCGATTTATGCCCAAGCCGTTGTTCCGCAAACTAGGTGCCACATAAGGCCTCTGACTGGTCGAAATGCCATTAACAGGTCCCAAGGACTGCGCTGGTTGCTGCTGACTAGGCGGTAGTGGTGCTGGCGGCACATTCGAAGGCTGTGGAATGCCTTGTCCTGGCTGCTGGATTGGTGGCACTAACGAGTTCACTGATGAGTAATTTGGCTGCGATGGTGGCGGTGATTGCTGCGTTCCTTGCACCACAGTCTTCTTGGTCAGTGATGGTGCCAAATAGGGATGATTGCCACCACCCGTACCACTGCTATTGCTTTGGGGTATGTCGTAAGTGCGACCTGAGGGCGTTGTTACCGAAATGCTGTTGGGCGGCGGCAATGCACAAGGCTTGGAGTAGTCATAGCCATTTGGTAGGGCCTGCACATAATTGTCAAAATATTGCATAACTGCATGCATAGGCGTCGAGTAGTTGACGTTAATGAGGGATTCACGTGTACGCAGGCGTTTGCCGGATGTTACATTTATACTGCCGCTCTTGCTACCATTCACCGCGAGCGCCTGTAAGCGCAAAATATTAGCCTGCTTTATGTGTGGCAAGAGCTCTGCATCGCCTTTGATCTTCTCCACGGGTTCATCATTGGCTTCGTGCTGTTCACTGGCAGCAGGTGCAGGAACAGTTGCCGTCTCCGTCAACATCATCACCGATTTTGCCGTCGTCGTGCTCTCCAGCTCGGGTTGCTTGTCCCCCTTCTCCGCACTGTGCGCCACTGGCGTTCCAGCCTTGGCACTGCTGCTGCTGCTCGACTTTTTGCGGTTTACGAACTCAAAGAGATCGTCTATGTCTGGAACATCAGGCAACACACCATACGAATCAAAATTATCGCGAAAAGCGCTCGCCCACTCCTCGTTCTTATACAACTCGGGATTAATGGCAAACTTTTGCTGTTTATTGTCAGTTGTCGAGGCCTCGCCTATGTTTCCGCCCACACTCTTAATAACCGTGATGGTCTTGACGCGCGTGCCCTCCTTTGAGTCTATATTTGTGGCGGCATAACTCAAGCTGAGATCTCTTTTCGCCGGCTGTGTTCTCTCATTGTTGCCAACGCTCTGGGGATACTTGATACTGATTATGGTAGTGGCCTCTGCCTGCGTCCTAGAGCCTTCGAAGAGTAATAGAGCCATGGCTAGCACGGCCAACGACTGAAATATAAGGCAAAATGAATCACTAATTTAGTTTTGGCTTTATTATTTTAATTTATATACACTTTTCAATAAGAGATTTCCATTTTTTAATCATTTCTATCTATCAAACGAGTAATGTTGAACGTTTGATAACAAATGATATATGTTTACTTACATTTTAATTTCGAATGAGTCTTACAATATTTTAACCAAAAAATGATCGCTTAACCACTTCTAATGAATGCAATGTAATGAATTGAAAGGGGGAATCTTAAACGATTCAACTCAGGAGCCGCAAATGGGCTTAACCACATCGTAAAAGGACACATAACCTAAATATATCTTCATGTGAGCCTGGAACTAAACCACAGTCAACTGTTTGGGATTTCCAAAATTACCGTTAGCCAAAAAAAATCTGTTGATTGTTCTTGAATTATTGCAACATCAAAAATCATCCTTCGTCATGACAATGCTAGCTCACATCGATTAGGTAAAGCATCAAAACCAAGATTTCATGACCTGCCCATATCCATATCGACAAATACCTACATTTTTCCCCAACAATCAAGCAAGATGCGTGGAGAGCGTTTTACAACCTCTGTAAAACATGTTAAACGCGAATATTTCTATAATTTTTTCCTATTATTCCAGGAACTTTAACACCAGCAATTAGGAGTGAAAATTTGTGTTTCGTAGTACATAGGGCTAACGCTAACCTTGGGTAATTTCATTTTAACGAAATATCCTACATCTTCATATAGACGAAAAATCTTAATGGTTTGTTTTTAATCATCAACTTACTATTAATATGTATTAAGTTTCTTTTTCCTCAATATATATAAATTTTAGTATTCAATTGAGTCACTAAACGATATTTAATAAAATTGTTTTTTGTGACAACAACTTTTGAGCCTAACTTACGGACTATATTTTAAGAGCTTGACCCATTTCCTGCCCAGTAACGTTGGTCATTAAAAGTTTGATCATTAATATAATAATAATAATAATATAATTATTGCTTTTTTTAAGTGTAAACTTAAAAATCGTGATATTTATCTAAATATACAAGTTTATTGGGTGTGTAGATCATGCCGTTCCTTGATAACTTATTTTTGTGTATTTCGAAATTTTGGATTCTAGTAGTTTTCATTATTTTACGGTTTTTGTAGAGAAGCAAACAATAAACATTGAACGTCTTTCGCAAACTTTAATTTAAGTGCCTAAATTCGAAAAATAAACTTGTGGAAACTGACAGTTGTTTTTAAGAGCCTTGGTATATCCGTGTTTTCAAGTGTTTGAAAATCATGGGGTTTTATGATAGCCTTCGTCCGAGCTACGACTTTGCAAGTAGTCTGGTTCGCACACTGATTGGTAAACTCATTTCATTGGATATGCAATAAATATATATATATGTACAATTTTAAATATGCTCATTTAAATTTAATATTAAATTTAAAAAAAAAAATATATATATATACATAAATATATAGTTATTCGATAAATATATACGTGTAATCAGATTAAGCAGAAATATAATGCTTAAAGAAATTGTATAACTTCTGGGACTAAAATTTCTTTTTGGAAATATGAAACTAGTTTTGGAGAGCTCCACTTAAGGATATATTTTAATGAGCATTTTTTAATTTAAATTTAATATTAAATTTAAATGAGCATGTTTAAAATTGTTCAAAATCGTAGGTTTTTTAAACTTCAATGTCAAGTTTTCTGACTGGATTTTTAAAGAAAACTAAATGTAAAATTTAACTTAAGAAGTTATGGAATACTTCGATTAAGCTTTGAGCTGTTTGGAAGCCTAAAAGAAATCGTACGACTACGCAAAATGTACATAAAATCCAATTTATTTGTCTAAGTAAATCCCCATAAAAAATTGCATCCAGAGTGGGCGTCTTTGGTTTCAAAAGATAATGTGTGAATATCATTTTGGATCACTGTGCCAACAGTTAAAAATCTTGGCAGTTTGTTGCTTAACTGATTTTTGTTTGTTTTCACTCACAGTTTTCCAACTCATTTTGTTGCTGTACATATAAGTATATGCTCTATTTGTATTATTATTATCGTTTTATTTCTTGTGTTCGTTCAGCACATGCGCTAGCTGTCGGTTGGTTGTTTGGTTGGCGATGCCGACGGTAACGCGGTCAAATCTTTTGTAACTGCGGCCATTTGGCCAACAATGTCTTTTTATATAGCCAAGCGGAAGGAGCCTGGGGTTTCCTGAAGTGTATTTTGGCGCTAATCAGCTCGGGCATGTCGGCGACGTTAATGTCTTTGACACCAAAAACAAACAGACGGCGAAATGAAAACAGGCCGACCGACCGAATGGTGGTGGCCTCCTGCCACTACCTCCTGTCCGCCGTCCGTGTGTGTGTGTGTTGTTGTTGTTGTTGCAGTTATAGTTGTTTTTGTTGTGCCTGATCGACCAATCGTATTAAGCTGCATAATCGCTTTCCAATTACGTTCGAAATGATCAACGGGTTTTCGCGCATTTCTTTTTGCAGAAAGCAGTTTATGTTTCTTTCGCATGGATGCCAGCATTTTGGTAGCTAATTGAGTGCGTCTAATGAGGAAATCGAAACGCACTTTAAGCGCATTACAACAGCTGGCGGTTTCACGGCTCACTGCGGGCGTGTGAGTCCCCGTCGGGAAGGCACCCACTAGCATAGATTGTTTGCGGTAAGCTTTTTGCCACTGCCACCAACCTTCGTTGAAGGTTGCCTTTTGGGTAAGTGGGTAAGGGTGTTGCATGAGCATGAGATGTTGTGGGAACATCGTTAAAGACAAAACCTGGCAGCTGGTTGTGCTGCGCGAAAAGTCGCCAAAATATATTTTATATATCGTCTGCATCTAACAAAACCGGTTGCCTTATGCAACAGCATATGGAGCACTTGTTACCTGCCATTGTTCGACCAAAAGCAGCTATGGCGGAATGTTATGGGAATAAATGACCATTGATGAAATGGAATGCTTAGTATTTTACACCATATCATGGAAGATAAGATAATAATCAACACCTGACCCATCCTGCCATCCATTTGCGTCCATTCACCTTGTCGGGCTGGACCTTTAAAGTGCCATACAATTAATAAAGAAGAAAATATTAAAAATAAATAAAAGTTGTGCAAATGGGGGAATGTTTTCGAATGGGATTCATTTTAAACCGTTGGGCTAATTTTTTCTGAAACTACATTTTTTTCACAAATCGCTATAGAACTTAAACGAAAAAAATATTTAAAAAATCTCACAATCCTTTAATATAGCTGCATATTTTGATTCTCTTTATTTGCATAGATCAATGGATGCTTAAACCAAATCTTTTTCTTTTACTTTCCAAAATTGCTCACGTCTTAAAACAGTATCAGCAAAATCATAGGGACCACTAAAAAAATAAGAAACGTACTTATGTAACAATATGCATAACAACTTTCACTAAAAATGTGTTGATTAGATAAGCAAAACTTTGCCGAAAATGTTGTAGTTTAGAGATCTTTATTTATTTATTATTATTATAAATTCCTAGTGCTAAAAGAATGATTCTTATAAATTAATGCACTAGTCACAACAATTAAATTTCCTTAGGTATTATTAAAATTCAAGTGATTTGATTAGCCTACTTAACCTATTTATATAAGATACATTTTAGTTATACATACATTTAAAGTGTTTTTGGTTTTTTAATTTTTATTATTATTATATTATAATCATTATAAAAGTGTAAATGTATTAGTGTTTGTATTGTGCTCTTTACTTTATTTACATTTAGGTATTTTCTTGAAAGTGCGCATGAATTCTATTTCTAAAATGCGTTTCATTGCTGATTGTTTTTAAGCTATGCGGTAACTCGTTCCACAGACGAACAGCAAATATAAAAAAATGTTTTTCGGAGCAGGATAATCTATATCTTATGCAAAGAATATTATGTGTTCTTCTTGATGAGGTAAAAGAGATTTTGTCATACAAATAATTCGGCTCTTTTCGAGTAATGGTTCTATGCATAAAAATAATGTGCCCTAAGTTTAATACAAGAGCTGAGGGTCAGGTTAAAAATTTATTTGGCGTATACCGTTATGGGTTCTGCTGTTGCAATGCTGTTAAAGGCTACTTTTAATTTGGTCTGGCTTACGGCGTCACAGTTTCCGAATAATTCTACTCCATAAAATAATGAGGGTATCAAGTATGTCTTAGCAATAAGGAGCTTGAGTTTGGCTGGGAGGAAATGCTGCGTCAAAGAGAGAAACCTAAGAATGTATAGTGTTCTTCCTACAGCATTATTAACATGATTGTGCCATGATAGTGTCTCCTTAATGATTATCCCTAAATATTTTTGCCTGCCTTACGTATTCAATAGGTTCGTCTTTCAGTTGTAGTTTCTCTAGATTAAGTAAGTTAATTTTCTTTTTATAAATTACCAGGCATTTAGATTTTTTCGGATTGACTTCCAGACCATTTATACTCGCCTCATCAGATCATGTGTCTTGTTTCATCTACGTAATGGATTTTTACTAAAGATGCAATCCTAAAACTGTGAAAAATTGTTGATTTCTTTTTATACCCTGTACCCGTAGGGTAAAAAGGGTATATTAGGTTTGTGCAATGTAACATGCAGAAGGAAGCATCTTCGAGCCCATAAAGTATATATATTCTGAATCAGCATGACGAGAGAAATCGATCCAGAGATGTCCGTACGTCCGTCTGGATGAACGCAACGATCTCAGAAACTATAAAAGATGGAATAACCAAAGTTGGTATCCAGATTCTCCTAGGTCCGAGAAAGGACGAGTTTATTTTATTTTTTGGAATTTTCCACCCCTTCCTCCGCTACAGAATTTCGTCAATATCGTCAAAAGCTACGCTAACCAAACGTTGCACACATAATTTCTATATAATTATCTACTTTTGTTTTAAATTTCATCTAAATCGGTTAGTTCTAAGTTATTAGCGAAACAATTTCACTCCGGTACTACGCCCACAAGCTGCAGCATCAAATTCGCTCTTCTCCTTCCGAAAGTTTACCTGGGTACAGGGTATTTCACTGTCGGACTTGCTCGACTGTAGCGTTCTCTCTTGTTTCCATTTCTCTTATTCGATATTTTACGTACTTGCCTTTATCTGACAAATATGAACCACAGAAATGAACAAACTTTATAGATATTTAAGCATTGGTGGCACATTTTCCAAATACCTCTTCTTATCTTTACAGATGGAGCAACTTGCTTGAACTGACCCATGGAGTAGCCGAATTAATGAAGCTCTCACCATTTGCGGGCCACAGCTAATAGCAACAATCAAAATCAATCAGAAAGAAAGCAAAAACCAAATCATTTTACAAATAAATTGAATAAGTAGTTCAAGATGAGTGTGATTATTCGTTTGCAAAACTTGCCGTGGACGGCAAATGCGCGCGACATACGCAATTTCTTCACGGGCCTCTCGATTCCGGAGGGTGGTGTTCACATTATTGGCGGAGAAATGGGCGACGCATTCATCGCTTTCAGGTAGTTCTCTCTATAATTTTACAAATACATATATGTATGTTTGCAAGTATGTGTTAAGTTGAGTGCGGTAAGTGCAGAACACGGTAAAGTGGCTTCTAGCTTGCTTGCGGTGCAAAACCATAAACAAAAGAGTATTGCGAAAACCTCTACAAACATGCATGAACCAATTTTCAAAATAAAACTACTAATTTTCTTGAGACGAAAGATAGAAGGGCATGTCAAACACCGAATTTCCAATGGCAAAAACGTTGATATAATTTTAATTCCAATAGTTCAAATGAGAGAAATATGGTGTTGGAAACATACATATATCCATCATGTAGGGTCTTTGAGGCTCTGAAGCAGAGCTATGCCAGAACATGATGATCATTGGGGATCACATGTCCATTTCGTAAATATGAAAGGCTTTCGGAAATTTGTTGGATTCGATGCAGCTTTAGAATCTTGGTTCATGCGTTGTTCTTATATCTGTTGAAAGCGATCATTGGTCCGACGATATTTTTTATTTTGTTCTGAAAAGTCTGTAGGATTTACTCAACTGAATAAGTGCCTAGTTTAGTCCCTTTCTGACTCAAAGAAAGCCTTTACAAAACTAGCGAGCTCAGCTGATTAATTCACATAGGAAATCGCATCTAAATGAAATAAAACCGAATCTTACCTACTGAAATGGAACTCGATTCCCAGACTACGATTCAAAGTTTCTGTAAGTAAATGAATGAGGCGTTACATGTTTTTTTATGGAAGTAAATTATTGTAAATGATATGCCAGAGGCTTTTGCATTTCACGCGCAAGTGAAGAACCATGAATTAAAAAGCCTATTTTAACACACTAATTGGTGGTAAAAACTGACAATAAACATACCTGAACAGTGCTGTGTGCGGAAATGTTTACAGGCTCGTATCTGTTGCAACTTTGGTAAGCTAATTCAGTCAGCTCGGATCTCTGAGCACACATTTCAAATATGAACTGAGATAAAAGTTGCTCTACAGTTCTCGCTACGTGCCACTAGATTTTAAGCAGGGTTGCCAATTGCTTTTTTTACCACCTGTTGTGGAGCCTGAATGAGACAAGGCCAATTGCAAACTGTTCAATTAGCTCGAGCTTGCATGTTTTTCAAGTGGCTACTATGTCGGTTCATATTCTTGCCAGCATTCCATTTCCCAGAAGTTATCGGTATTTTTTGTGAATTTGAAAATGAATTTCGAGCTCAAGGCGATCAATTGCAAATATTCGTTATGTAGGATGCAATCAAATTCAAGGATATACATTATCGTTTTGCTGGTGATATATTGTTGTATTGTATAAATATTGGGATTTTAAATGTGGCATATCACATATGCATATGTATAAGCGTGCGTTTCAGATTTTATTCATGATACAGTTAAAGTACTATCCATATGGGTGTGAGTCCTGCAATTATTTTTTGTGTGTTACCATGCGTACATTCAGATTCTAGAAAACAAATCTATATAGTATGTGCTAAACTGTTGCCACAATTTGCTCATCGAAACATCATAATGGTAAATGTACCTATTTTCAGTTGTCAAGTATCAAAAGGCTACATCTCAGGATCTCTAATTTTTACAAATAAAAGCTAAATCGAATACTATTGAGCCTGTTAACGGGATTAAGAAATGTGTTGACCATACGAAATTTTGGTCTCGGTTTTTAGCTATTGATTACACCATTTTTCTTAAGATCTTGTATTTTTACAAATAAAAGCTATATCAAATCATATTGGACCTTTTAACGGGATTAAGAAATGTGTTGACTCAATGCGAAATTTTGGTCTCGGTTTTTAGCTATTGGCCAAATTTATGAATGTGCAAATTGAGTGCGAAATGCTTGACTCAGTTTCGAGCTATTGCCCAAAACTGTGTTAAATTGTGAATTTTGGTATATTAGAGATTTTATAGAGCGAGCAACCATGACTCTATTCGAAGATATAGGTACAGTCGACTCTCGGTAATTCAAACCTGCGATAATTCGAACCTCTCTATAATTCAAAGTTTTCACGAATTCCTTACAAAATCTCTTTATATTTCGAACTGAATATAAATATAAAAATACATTTTTATGCACTTGGTAATCCGATCGAAAAAATCTACTAAACTTATCGGCATCCAACACTCGAGGATTCAAAGTTGCACAGAGAAAGAGGCGGACGGATTGTATGTATGTAAGTACATTTTGCTACAAGTTCAAACTTGTATCAACGTGCCGATGCTAGCCCCGCCTGCGCATCTAACGGTCACCGCTCAAGATCCGCCCGGGTAACAGTTTTTTTATTATTAGTTTGGCTATTTGACACACACTTCAAACAAATTAGTTTAGTTATTATTGAGTTACTGTTTCGAACCATTTGATATTTCAAACTCTCGATAATTCGTAATATTTTAAGAATTCCTCGAGTTTCAAATTAACGAGAGTCGACATGAAGTGCTTAGTAGTATGGCAAAAATAATACATTTTTTCATAGACGAATTCAATCACATGCAGATATGTACATGCATCGTGATGCTAATGGTCGTTTTTATTTCAGCGACCTGAAAACTATTATTTATGATGTATGTTGATTAAAGCATTCTTGTTTTTCAACATATTTGGAAAATTACATGCTTTACCTAAAGATGTTCAGAACGATCTGTTTCATAGGTTATTCAGGCCCGTTTTTCAGGTTCGATAGAAGTCTTTTTTTTTGCATTTTCATTTTCTACGTACACAGCACTCATTATTTGAAAGCAAGAGTTTTACTGTTCTGTGCTATATTCCTTTGCTATCGTTATTTAACGTTTGCGGCTATAAACATTTCTTCAATTTGTTTTTATTTTTTTCCTGTAAATACCATCAGTACGGACGAGGATGCCCGCTGCGCCATGCTAAAGGATCGCGAAAAGTTAATGGAGGTACAGGTGCGATTGTTGCTCTCATCTCGAGCCGAAATGCAAAAGGTTATTGAGACGGCGCGTAAGAAGGCTAGTGTGCCGACTCCCATAACTGTGGCTGCCGCCGCTCCTGCGGCTCTACCACAGGCCCCACAGCCGCCGGTCATCGGTGGCTTGAATAGTTTTCTGCCGCAGAACAGCAAACAGGCGCCCCAGCCCTCATATTTGGCCGCCTATCAGCAGCAGGCCGGTGTAAAGCTATCGGATGTCATCATTGTTGGTTCCAAGTCACCTGAACGTGGACGGCACGGCCGCAGTGGCCGTCAACGCGGTCGCAGCCGTAGCCGCAGTCTCAGTCGCAGCCGCTCCTCCAGCTCTGATGACAGCTTCGATAGTAGGGACCGCGAGCGCGCACGTAAGCGTCGCTCCGATCGTGCCGATAGCAGAGAACGGGTGGCAAAGTCGCAGTCCAATATAATGCCCTGGGCTCTGGGTAGCACTCCGACTACAGTAACGACCGGTGTGGATCCGCTGGCGGCGCTGAAAATGACAACTGCGGGGGGTGGTGTTGGTTTGCAGGGACTCTCGCCACTCCAGCCGGTGGTGTTGCCAAGCTATACTACCAACACCACCACCAACAATTACAATCTAAGTGTGGGCAGCAATGCTGGCGCCACCCTGCCACTTCCCATGCTGGCGGCACTGAAGGCAGTGGCTACCGGTGGTGTCAGTAGCGGCGATGCCATTACAGCTCAAGTCCCTGGTGTCGGCCTAAAGCCGGCCGCGAGCCTCTACCCAACATTATCGGAGCCACAGAAGTCAGGAGCGGTGGCTGCCACGGCCCCCGCAGTCAGCACTCAAGAGCCAATTGCCTTTGCCAATGTGAATCCATATGCCCAGATGTATCCGCAGCTGTTCCAACAGCAGCAACTGCTGCTCCAACAACAGTCCTCGCCCAAGGCATCAGCTAGTGTGCCTGCTTCTCAGACCAATTGTCCCACCGCCGAGACCTGTTATGTGAAGATCAGTGGCATGTGTCCAAGCACTACATACAGCGATTTGCGCAAATACTTTGCTGGCCTCTATATACCACACAACGGGATTCGCTTTTGCAACCCGAATGGAGCACGCTCGGGCGTCGCCTACATAGAGTTTTCGAGGGTTTCGAGTGCCCAGAAGGCGTTGGCTCGCAATAATACCATGTTCCGGGATCGCCAGGTCCAAATAGTGCCCGTCAGTGATGATGAATTCGAGCAGGCAGAGTCGCGCAGCAATAGTGGTGGTGCTGGCCATATTAGCAGCGGTGGTGAAGGCAGCCATAATAGATCTCCTATCGCCGACACGCCTAGCAATGTACTCTATGTGGAGGATTTGCCACAGCTTACCACCGAGCAGGACATCATGAAAATGTTCTCAGCCACATACAGCATTGTGGACATCCTGCTGGCGCCTAGTCCCAACAATCGACGCGAATTTGTCGCTTTTGTGCTGTTCGCGCGTGAAAATGAGGCGCGCTCTGCGCTAGAGGACACCGGATGTCATTATATTGGATTCCGGCGATTGCGTGTACGCGCCAGCTCCTCCACCGAAATGCAGAGTGCCAAGGAGAAGCTGCGACGTGCCAATGAGCAGTTGCTCAAGGAGGAACAGCTCATGGAGGAGAAGGCCAATGAGTTGTTGGCTCAGGCCAACAATAGCTCGGATGCCGTCTCCTCCATCAATGGAATCTCAACAGGAGCCAAATATAATGCAGATCCTCGTCGACGTGCCGACAGACAACGGGATCGGGAATCGAATGAATCCAAAGCGTCAATGCAGTCAAATGCTCCTCCAGCTGTCATGCCAATGAACTCAGTTCCACCATTTGTCAATAATAATCTCCAAAATGGTGGCATGCCTCCTTTCGGCATGAATTCCCCCACGGGAATTGGCAATCATGACCCCTTTGCCGTGAATTTCAATCACAATAACCACAATCAAGGACCCAGCAATGGACCATTCCAAAACAACAACAACAACAATGGGCCATTCCAAAGCAACAACAACAATGGTCCATTCCACAACAATTACAACAACAACAATGGTTCAATGGACAACAATGGACAGCTCCGTCGACGCGGCGATGAGGACCACTTTGTTCGCGTCCACAATTGTGAGTATGGCACTCGCATCAACGATCTGGGTGAGTTCTTTATGACTGAAAATTTAAACATCGTGCACATTGAAATGCTCTACAATGAGCGCAACATGCCGGCCGGTGAGTTCCTGGTGGAGTTCGCGGACAGCCAAAATGCGAAGACAGCTATTCGTGAGTTCCACAATCGACGCTTTCGCGGACGCGGCCTCCGGGTCGTTCACATAACACCACAGGAGATTGCTGATCGGCTGCGCAAACCGTTCATGGACTATGTGCCGGGTGGCAATGGCCCCAGACAGAGCGATATCCCCTCCTCCACACAACAACAGCCACAGCAGCAACAACAAGAAAAGCAGCCGCAACAGAGCCGCCGTCGCGGTCCCAGTCGCTTCGATGATGCCAGCAATCGCTCAAATAATAATGAAGACAACGACAATGCCAAGCAACCTCCACAGAATCCCTTCAATCCCTTCGCAAAGCGTCCAGTGGAGGATGCTCCCGCGCTAGGTACTGCGGATATCATCGTTCCAGCGGCCTTATGTGGTGGTGGTGGTGGTGCTGCTGCTGCTGTTTCGAGTCCTCCCCTTGATGATGGTATACCCGATAAATTTGATCGTCCTGGCTGCGTGGTCGCCATGCGTAATGTGCCTTTCAAGGCCGACCTGAAGGACATTTTGCGCTTCTTCAGCGACTACAAGCTCAGTCCCCACGATATTATACGTCGCTTCAATGATGAGGGCAAACCAACTGGAGATGCCCGCGTCGCTTTCGAGTCACCAGCCGAGGCGAGATCAGCATTTGAATCCCGACGCCGTCGACAAATATTCAATCGTAATGTATATCTGGAGATCATTTAAGATCTTTTTACCTCTCTATAGACTCTAAATATTTTAAGTTACGCTACAATTGTAAATATACATATATACACACACCTCTCACAGAGGTCCACACTCGATAGATGAGTTGAAAGTTTGACGACAAGGCTCTGAGTACTGTCGCTATATATCCAAAGCTTAAAAATATCAGACCCACATTTAATTAATACAAAAAATTCCCTATTTTCAAGCGATGAAATAGGGAATCCACACCTGTTAATAGTTAAGCTAAGAATTGGTTTAATTTAAAATATGTTGGACTTTTATGGTACTCCTCTTAGTAGAGATGTTAACAATTGTATGTACAAGAATAATTCCAACAGATAAAGATCCACCTAAGAATATATAAATACTATATGATTATCTTATGCTAAAAATAATCTAGAATTTCCTTAATTTTATTTATAAGTCTTTTTAAAATTGCAAACCACTCTGTTTAGCCGTACATTGTTAGTGAACTATTATAAGCTTGCCTTGTACGCTTTGTTGCAAAAATATTTGTATATAAATGATATAAATAAATTCATTTATTAAACCTGAAAATGTAATTCAGTTTTAATTAATTGGTATGTACAAGTATGAACCTTAAATATGAAAAACATTCAGGGCCAAATGGGGGCCCTTAGGCAAAATTCTGCAGTTGTATGACTTGGGACTTTTTTAGAGTCTCCCTACACAAGGGACACTCTTCACGTTCGTCCAGCCAGTCTAGCAGGCAACTCCAGCAGAAGAGATGTCCGCACGGTGTGAGGCTGGTATTACATCGAACTTCCAGGCACAAAATACACTGTGGAGCATTCGCTACCGGCTTCGAATTTGAGCTTTCGGCGCGCTGAAGAAAACGCTTGCTGCTCTGCTTGAGGGCTTCCAGTTGGTGACGTTTGTGCTCTTTCCATGCATCCCAGCTGCTAATGGCCAGCGATACGCTGACCTGTAGGAATGTAATGATGCCCAGAATCTTGTATCCGTACAGCGAGAATTCCGGCTGCAGCCAATGTCGTATGAGCACGTAATTAATACCCGTAACACGCTTGGATAGCTGATATCTGCCGGCTTTCAGATAGAAGAGGGATTTGTGCAGGGCCTTTATGTAACTGGGAGAATGGTGCAGTTGCCGTATCAATTTCTGCAGTTGCTGCTTTGCCTCCGGCACAATTTCCTCATGATGGGCTACATAGAGCTCCAGTTTTTGCAATAAGCGGACGAACAGCGCATCACCACCGAACTCCAACACAATAGCCAGCAGTTGTAACTAAAATGAATACAATTTTCAAAAGGAACTTTAAGGAACCGCAGAAAGTGCTCACCACTCGACTGGGTATCTGCTTAAATTCGCCATCAACCTGTATAATGCCCGTATACTCCTCGCCAAGGGTCTGTAGATTGTTTAGCGACGCAAAACCATGGTAGCTGAGCTCCGCTAGCAGCTTGCACAGCTGATTGTACTTTATCCAGTTCCGCGGCCCGCTTAGACGCAGTACGTCCGACAAATCCTCGGCAAGTTCATTCGTATAACGAGCATCCTTCTGAACCGAGCGCACAATTTCTGGCTGGCGGGCGCGTGCGTTACGAAAATTCATATCGAGTGCAGTTTTACAGATATTTTATTACATTATCCGATGCCAATGTTTATTCAACGGACATCGCCAGTTCAAAGTGCGCGAGATAAACAAATCGGCCACTAAACAGCTGATACGGTTTGATAACTCATTGTTATCGTTATCGGTATTTTAGTGCAACACTGCACACTCAAAAAAGTACTCGGTACTCATAGTCAGCCATTTGTATAGTCAGCACGAATGCCGATTTTCCCAATCCGAGTGATTTTTTGGTTTTTATATCAAAATTAGTTGCTTTCAAAACAAACTAAATAAGTTACACAGGACTTGTGACTGTTTATTTTTCAGAGCGCGTGTTTTTGGCCATCTAATTTTGAGCCTCTGTGCATATTTTTGCGTTTTTCCCAAAGGTTTCGACTGTCGGCCTTGCCCACGACTGCGCACCAATACATACCAAAAAAAGTGAAAAAGTAACAAGCATAGAAGCGTAGAAAATAAAGAGAGCGAATCGGTGTCTATTCGGCGATCAAAGTCTCTGAAGAGATCACTTTAAAAGTACTTATACAGTACATTTGCGATTTTTGCATTCTGCATTAAAAAATTGCATTGAAATTTTTTTCGAAATTTTACGCAAGTATTATTTCTGGATATTTTGTTGATAATCATGGCTCAGTAAAGATGAATCCTCAACGAGTAAATATCGCGCAACGCACTCCGTGTGGAGACAAACGCGACAGCAAGCCTGAGACGCAAATTGCTAGAAATTTGCAGACAACATCCCCACCACCCCCTGCAGTCAGCATACTCACTGATTCCCTAAACATTAACAACAACAATAATAATGGACAGCAACAAGAAACAGCAGCAACAATCTCATCATGCCCGATCTACCAAATCGTGTGCGCCTGCTGAAGCCAACCGCAAATCAAGTGGTGAGTGACACCAAACGAATTATATTTATTGGCAGTCTATATACATACATATGTATTTATATCTCTTCTGCAGAATTGTATGCCAATAAATCGCGGCACTCGCGTCGTCGTGAACAGATTCCTACACCACGCAACGAACAACAACAACAGCAACAACAAACAGGCAAGCTACGTCCCAATGTGGACAAAAGGCCACGTGCACGTGGCGGTGGTAACTATCAAGGACAAGGCGGCAGTGGCAATGGGTATGCCGATGAATTGTCCTCTTCCGGTGGCGCTGCATGCACCGGTGACGATAACGCTGATGGCAGCGCCGGACTAGCAGCATCGGGTGTGAACTACTCTCGTGGTAGCTATGACTATGGAAGCAAGAAACAAAATTTGAATCACTTGCTAAACTTTCACTGCGTGCCGCGTGAGTCGTCGGACTTTGGCACTGGACATGGCATACGAACTCACTACCACCACCACAACCATCAGGGTGGCGCATCGCGGAAAATGCCGCGCTACAACAAGGAGCAGTTTTTGCAGGCAAACTTTCAGTTTGTCATACGTGCTGGGGCAAAGGCTCAAGTGAATGGCTCCCCAGACACGCTCATTGATTGGAACTTCATTGAACAGATTAATATACAGACTACAGAGGAGCCTCAATGTCCCATCTGCTTGTACCCGCCGGTGGCGGCTCAATTGACGCGCTGTGGTCACGCGTACTGCTGGCCCTGTCTGCTTCATTATCTATCGTTAAGCGACAAGAGCTGGCGCAAGTGTCCTATTTGTTATGATGCTATACATGCGAGCGATCTGAAGAGCTGCACCATTGAGCAGCAGCGTGCGATGAATGTTAATGATCGTATAACGTTTCAGCTGATGCAACGACGCAAGGGTTCCATGTATATTGAACACTATAGCGGCGCCGCAATGCTCGAAACACAGGAACGCTTTCCTCTACTCAGCTCGTACAATGAGGTCAAGCGCTACTCCAAGTTTTTGATTGCGAAAAGACCGGATATTGCAGCAATCATTGAAAGAGAACGTCGCGAACTATTGGCCGAATCAGATGAGTCGTGCCCAGAGCATATTTTCATACAGCAAGCGCTGTTGACATTGAACGAACGTCGCGACAAACTGGGCCTAGCTCTGCCTGAACCAAAAGAGGAGGAGGAGGAAGTTGAAGGAAAGCCAGAAAAAGAGCTCGAGAAAGATTTGCCGAAAACTGTAAGCGACACCAACAGCGCAGACAATGAGAATGATGAGGATGCTTCTGTCTGCTCTGGAGACGCCTCTAGCAGCACTGGTACCGTTACTGGGACGCTGAGCAACAGCAAATTCTACTACTTCTACCAGTCGAGCGATGGACAAAACATTTATTTGCATCCACTCAACGTGAAGATGCTGCAGGCCTGCTACGGCACCCTGGATCAGGCACCCTTGCTGATTGATGCGCAGATTTTGCAGAAGGAGCACCACTCCATGGATGAGGACCATCGTCGAAAGTTCACGTGTCTGGGCCATTTGCCTCTCACATGCCAATTCGCAGTCGTGGAGGTGGACTTGCAACCGCCCATTGTCCCTTGCAGCATACTCAAGCTTTTTAAGGGTAATTCATTCTTTAAAATTGCTTCCAATTGTATTTCTAACAATGACTTCTAATGTACAGAGGATTTGTTGCATCGCAAGTTGGAAAGGCAGCGCCGCCACCGCGAGGAGTTGAAACGGGAGCAGCACATCAATGATCTTAACGATCGCCAGATGGGGAAACTAATAGCTAGTGCGGCCAATCTAGATTTGAGCTCAGCTCATGAGTTTCCCACGGTATGCCTGAAGTGCTGGTCAGGTTTCGTAATCTGAACGCTTCTTCTTTGCAGTGCGGCTTTGATGAGGCATTGCCTCCACTCGGCAGTGCCTACCCTGTGCCCATTTCCCATGACAAGGGCACACATTACGCTAGCGTGGCTGTGGCCGCCAATAGTCCCAAGAAGGAGGAACTATGGCCCGAACTGACATCAACAGGCTCTCGTAAGAGCCCACCCGAATTCAACATTGGCGCCTGGGGACGAGCAGTGCCCCCCACAAAAACGGCAACTCCAGCCGCCTCCGCCACTGTAGCCCAACGTGCCGCAGCCAATGCGGACAGCGAACTCACCGATGTGGGTCACTTTGCTTTGGGCGATGTCCTTGTCGGAGCCTTGGATCGACAGCAGAAGGCTCAGCAGCGTTCAGGTGGTGCTGGTGGCGCCAAATCCAATGCCACTTCTGGCGCCGATGGGAACAATAAGAAGCAAAAGAAAGCGAAGCCCAAAAAAATGGTCCCACTCTTTGCCGTGGGTATGAATAGAGCTCCATAGGTATAGCTCAACAGCGATAATAAATAACATTTGATTTTGGTTCCCTGTTAAGTAAAGCGCCCTGGCCGCGAGATCATACATGAATTTTTCGTTATTTACAAAATACCGTTGGATGTGTTTTTTCAATGTAGGGGATTTGAAAAATCATCAATGCATTACTTAATCAATAATCATCATTATATGACTACATATATAACTATGTTTATCCAAACTATATTAAACAAATAAAGCGCGTTTGCAAAACAAACTTTCTTGTGTTTGTTAATCTCAATATAAAATATTTAAAGAGCAATAAAGGGACTGGTTGAATGGACAAACAAGCTTCAAGAAGAAAGAAAAAGTTAATAGATTGATACTTAAAGGATTCCTTCTGTCAGCGGATTAAAACAATTGAAACCAAATTTTGTAAAGCACACAATCTTTGTTTATTTTATTCATTATAAAATGCGTGCACAGCATGGTTTTCTTTTATATTAAATGTATTTTTCCAAAAATGGTTTTCTTCAACAAAGAAGCACTTGCAATAATAATTTAAGTTCTATTTTCGAATGTGGTTCTCTTCGTGTTAACTTAGTTTAATTTTGCAAAATAAATTATTATACATACATACATCCATGTTATATATTCAGATACCATATATAAATATCTGTATAATTTTCTGCTTTGTAAAATAATTGCCACAGAGCAGCGCACACATTCTCTTTAAACCTTAATACATACAAAAATGAGTCTTTTCTGCGTTGGTTTTTATCAACAAAATGTAATTAAATACATTTGCTATTGGATGTGTGTGTGTGTGTGTGTGTGGGGGGGGGGGGGGGGGGAGGTGTATGTGTATGAGGTGATGATTTCCTTTAATTTACTGAAAACACGTTTCAAAATTGGCTAAGGGATGAACTAATGTGGAAAGGTAGGTGTAGGTATAGCAAGAAAGTATGGAACTTAAAGCTAAGGCTGCTAAACGCCACACACATATAAAAATACAGTTTGAACTAGATTTTCTATTACATAGTATATAGTAATATATATATATATGTAGGTCATCATCAATAAACGCTTATTGTGTCGTTCTTTGAACAAATGAAACTTTTCAGATTTTTTGTTTGAAACAACAAATAAATTTATAATAGCATTTTTAGTGTGTGGGAAAGAATCGGTAGAGATAGTAGAGATAGTATAGATATATAGATTAGATATAGAAAATTCCAAGTTTGCCAAAATTTAAACACTCTCTTCTAATAATCTATAATCTTGAAACGTAACCAAGTTAATAACTATTGCTGCCACGGGCTGGCTCTCCTCGCCAGCATGGACAGATTAGATTGGATTATTCAATTTCTAGGGCGTTCGAGGTCCGTTTTATAGGACTGTTGCTGCTCCCTTTCCCCCTCCGCGTCGTCATCATTGTCTGCATAGTCGTAGGCGGTCTTAAAGGTCGTTGAGTTGGTCTTAAAGAGCGACGGACTCGCGGTCAGCGAGCGTTTATGGTAGGCGCGAAGTGCTTGCGGAGACTGCTGCTCCTGTTTTTTGGCGCTGCCATTTAGAGAAGTGCTGCTTCCCCCACTATATTCCGGTGGCAGGTCCAAGTACTCATCGCCCGAATCAGTGCCAAACAAATCGTCACCGTTTACCGAACCCGATGGACTACCTGGTGGACTCAAAGCCTGTATGAGCTTCCCCTTGGACTCGTTCCACAAATGATTCAGACGCTCCCGCCCGAAGAGCAGCAGAAACGTGTCAATGAATTCCCGCGATTTCTCTTCCCACTTGGTAATTATGTCGCCCTTCACTTTGGTCAATTCGCGTTTGCCGCGCGTTTTCAGTTCATCCATTTTGTTCTGCAGTCGAAACTTCTTCTCCGACAGAAACGAAACGTTCAGCTCCTTGGCCGAATATCCACGCGCCAGATTACGACGCACATACAGATCGTAATCCTTCACAATACGCGCCACAATATCCGATGTGGATACGCCCTCAGTACGCTCGGTGGCCACAAACATGCCACGTGCCTTTAACGGCCCATAGATATCATCCATGCCGGCAGTCTCATACGGAATGTCGTCGTGTGCCACAAAGTCAATCTTATTATCGGCTAAGAACTCATCGCTTAGCGTCCAGGGCGCGTCTTGTACGATCTGGAATGATGCAAAGATCGGATAAGAATTGGCAGTGGAGAAACTATTGAAAATATGCTACAATATGAAGACTACAGCTTGGAAGTGTACTTTTGGGTATGATGGCAAGATCGGATAAGAATTAGCAAAGAAAGAATGTGCTAGATACACAATTATCACGGGACTTTAGAAAAAGGGGGGATACGTCATGAAAAGCATTAACTTGCAATAAAGACAGATTTTAGCAACGATCCTCCTTTAAATTAAAGTTGGGCATTATGCAAGGTTCATAAATACCGAATTTTTTTTTATACATATATCTTCATAAAGAGTGATTTTATACCGATTCCTATGAGAGTTACAACCATAATGAGGCTAACTGTGCTTTGATATTCGCATATACTATATAAGATAAATCTTACATATATGACAAGTTTTGTGCCCCTAGCTCTTGGGAACGGATGTTGTTTTTTTTTTTATCGATTTGCAGCTTAATGCTGATAACATATGTTATGAAACGATCGGGTAAAGGCTTTAAATCAATATCTTATCAGCGCACAGATCAAACTATTAGTCATTTATAATGGTCATATTAGTTATTGCATAAGACAAGCATTTGGTTTACCTCCCAGGAAATTATTCATTATTCCACTAACATGGTTGTTGGCTTTGCTGAATTGTTTAAGGGCTCTTCTATTGTAGAGAATTAGATCTTTGTCTTATCACTTACCTCATCTACATAGCGGCAGTGACGAACGCCCTCGTAGCGCTCGAACCCATTCATAACTGTGCGCCCCTTCATGCGATGTGTGAGTTCATCGTTGCAGACGCCGACAATAAGATAGACATTGGGAAAGATGTTCTTGGCCTGCATCAGTTGGCGAGCATGTCCCTGATGGAATAGATCGTAGATGCCATCGGCATATACCCGTACACGTCGATTGGTTTGCCCGGAACGGGCCATCTGGTATGTAATCCGTTTAGTGTAATCGCAGCGTTCGCGCTCCAGAATCGCCTCCTCATCGTTGGAGAAAGGCGCAGGCTTGCAAATTGTCTGCAACGAACAGAAAACAGGAAATCCGAACATTAACATCCGTAGGAAATTCTAAGTCACTGCGGTGCTGCTTACAAACTCTTTAAAGTCCATAAAGAGCGGCAACATCTTAAAGGTCGCTGGTGGTGGCCCCTCATCATTATCCATTTCAGACATTGTGTTACGTTTATGATATTTTCACGGAAATATTGATAACAATTAAAAAATATATGTATGTATATGAACCGATCCGTACGATACGCTTTCGAATCGTAGACTAAATTAGAAGCTGTCGTAAGACTCTCAGCCTACTGTTGGACGACTGCGACTACGAAAGAACGCAGTTCGGTCCAATCAATTAAGACGAACACTCAATTGGCGGCAACTATGACCAAATCAATACAATTGACTCAATAAAACGGCGTACAAACGCCCCAAGCTCGACTTTCTATAGCTTCCTCGACAATGGGCCTTCGACTTCCCGACTCTACTTACTACCTTTGCAAAGGCGACTGGACTGCTCGTTTAAATTGCACAAATTGAGCGCCTAAATGGGTATGTGAGTGGTGCAGAGTCGTGGGGCAGACAACATCGCATGATATCTATATTTATCCGTATATATGTATAAATGTGCGATACAGTGAGGGGCATTCAAGTTGGCACAGGTAGAGGAATACAAATTAAAATTACTGTACAAGTTTCTATATTCTAATTACCCAAATCATATATATTTTGATATTTCCCTTTCCGAATTCATCGCTTGAGTTATTTAGAAACTATAAGGTTACGATTCACTATGGCTCCTTCTTTGTAGGGATGAGAAATCAGACAAAGCATACATTTCTTGTTAATCCCTAAATACTTGGGGTATTTCGTGGTTTTCTATTGTCTGCGTAGTTACAGAGTATATTTCGTTTGCCGACATGTGATCGCGTGAGAAGCAATCCGGTCGGGAATTTGATCTTTGAAAGGTCCAGTCAAGAGCGCTACTTCTACCACGTTGATTATCTATTTTTTCAAGTATTTCCCAGTTTCGAGTTGTTTTTTCTCTTTGCTGAATTAGCAATACATATCCATGGAATTGATTTTCATTTTATATCAGAATATATTGAAATATATTGAATTAATTGAAAATGTTTTCTATTTTGCCTTAAAAATGTTCTTCATTGAAATATTTGAGTTTCGCCTGGGAAAGGTCGTATATTTATGAACCATCAAGCAACGTGGCTTAAATTGCGTTTTTAAAAAGGTCTGGATGTAATTGTTGTTTCTGTTGCTTTTTCTGGCCACCACTGTAAATTGGCTGGCTTGGCATTTTGGGCCATGTTGTTGGCGGCCCTTTTGTTTATTTATCTTGCAGCAATATTTATAGCCGCTCATTTTTTCTGGCCACTAATACATTTCCAAATTGAGCATCAGAATGCACTCATCGCATGACATCGCATTGCCATATAAAGACAAAGAATCTTCCAAAAATTTCAAGTTCTAATCTAATCGCAAAACAATTAAAATAATTGCACAAAATATATATGTACTCGTATTGTGCAAATATTTATACATATAGCTTTAAAATCGAGCCGAAAAGCTCCAAAATTTCAGCAACTTTCACTGGCGATGATGCAATTGATTTTCTGGTCGACTGAATAGAGCGAGAGAGAAGCGGGGGGCTGGGTCCGTGGTTTATCTGCTGTTTAAATGTTTTCGCGCATGACCTTGACGGACGGGCGCTAAAATATTTCGCGTGGCTAATTAAAAACGCAGCCCGAAGCCCCTTGCAGCGAAATACAGCCCCAGCAGAGATATTCCGTTTATTTCAATTTATTCCCGCATACGCATTTCTAACCTCAGATTGTAGAACTGGATATAATTTAGATATAGATATGAATTAGAATTTTTAAGTTATTTTTTTATTAAGTTATTTTTGTTAATACTTGTAAGTTAGAAAAATGATATTTTTTCTATACTGATAATTCGTTGGAGTTCTCATAATAACTTCCCACTTTAAAAACTGTAACATTTTTAGAAACAATAAAGTTTAATTTATGGACATTTTATCTCTAAAGATACAAACTTTGTATGAACAAATAATGTTATTTTGAATGTTTTAAGAGAAACGATATTTCATCACTAATTATAAATCGTGAATGTTTTTAAAGGAAAGGACATTTATTGTCTCTTAAGACAAATAGTTTAACTTACCGCAAAATCGGACGCATCGCTGCCATTGAATAGAGGTAATTTGGGCATCGGAGGCGGCACATATTTGCGTTTGGCGCCGGTGCTTCCATTGAGGTAATCAGCTGTGAAGCTGCTTGATGATGCAATTGGCAGCACAACCTCAGCTGCGAATGCCTCTCCGCCATCTTCGGCATCTTCGCTCTGAGAGACGGTGCGAGTGAAGTCCCTGAGAGTGGTTGCGGCTGTTGAATCCGATGCTAAGCACGATGACTCACCGGTATTTACTTTGATGCTTTCGAGCGGCTGATCCTTTGAGTTCAACTGTTCTTTGAAATCCGTGGGCATGGCAATGGCTGTCTCGTAAGTGCGTTTTCGCGTGCTCAGAGTTGACGTTAAGCCAGCAGTGCCGAGCAGTGTCGTCGTGCTGGGCGCCTCTGAAGCCACCAAGGGCGTCGTCGTCGCTGACGTTGTATGCGTGTTAATTGTGTTATTGGTGATTATCGATGAAGTTGCCATCGCAGCTAATGTTGTCGAGCGGCAGTTTTGATGATTTCCAAAGCACTGTGCAGATGGCAATGATGATGATTGAGACGCTTAATAAGTGAGAGCGTGAGACGAGATTCGCTTGGGGCTAGCTGCAAAGAAACGAAAATCATGCCATTAGGTGTGAATAATACATCTTCATATAACGTTTCTAAGATATTATATATTCTTTTGTCGCGCCACAATTTGTGTACAACGTAAAAGAAAAGCAAAATAGTAGCGACGGACACGTGACATTTCAATTAATCAACAGCTGCTAAGAAGAAGAGGCACAACAGAACACAGAACACAAAACAACAACAGCACAACAGCCCATAAGCAAATCAATTTAGTTTAATTGCAGCCAAGCTAACTGATTCGATTTGCTGTATATACGGCGTTCCAATCGAACACACAAAAAAATGTGTTGTGAAAGCAACAAATATGTATAAATTTCGACACGTACCGCTCACCAACTAACAACACCGACGACAATGAGCAACTAATGACGAATTCGACTGGCCCGCAATTCAAAAGGCAAAAGTGCCACGAGCAGTAGAAGAGCGCACAAACGGAACAGAGCTGCGGAAGACGAAGAGCGAAAGAGAGAGGGAGAGAGAGAGAGAGTGGATTTGTCTTTTAAATGAGTGGCGTATACAACTAACGGCAAATGCTACAATTAAAAGTAAATGTGCCGACAGGTGCGTTACTTCTCACAAAATACACAGAAGCACACATACACACAGGAAATGCACAGTAAAAAACAAGCGAGCAATTAACAATCAATGGAGTGCACTTTGGCTTAATTTATGTAAACAAAGTTATACTACAATTATCATTTGCAAAAATTTTTTCGAACAGCGACAACAGCAACACGTGAGGCAGACCTTCGTCTGCAACAACAAATGAGACTCACTGGAAGCAGTGTTGTCAGCAATTGAATAAAGCTATAAATAGCTAATCAACTTATTAATGCTGTCAAGAATCTGCAATTGGTTTCAGCTTTTCTTGAAGGAACACATTTCTTGAACAAAAAATACTTTCAACCCAGGCTCGTTTCAAGACAAATAATTGCAGTGACATGATAATATTAATAGTTTAATATTAATAACTATATTAAATGTACTTATACATAGGTACATAAAATATAATGAACACGGCTTTTTGATCTATGGATTTTCTTTAATTTTATTTTGAAAATGCCTCTTGACTTTTAATTTGCCCCGGCATCGGCATTTGAAATATTTTAGAATTGACGAAACAAATTTAAAACCACTATAAATTGGCAACACTGACTGGGACAACACTTTTATGTTAAATACATACATATGTATATACATATGGGGGGACACATTTTAATGTGTGTGAGAGAGAGAGCACTGAACAGCATAGAGCAGCAATCAGCTGTTCAATGCGTACCAAATACAAATTTAAAAACTAAGTCAACTGACGACAATCGCGGCTGTTTATGCATACATATGTACATATGTGTGTGTGTATGTACGTATATCTAGTTTGATTTAAACAATGTTGGCATTGAGCTTGGTGCGTCAGAGCTGCTAGAAATTTTCTATCGTCGCTCCCAAAATTAACAACGCATATACATATACAAATGTATGTAGCGATAAGAGAACCCCAAAATTTCTACATTGTATTATATTATCAAGGAATAAAATGACACCAGCAACTAGTATGGCCAAATGTTTATATACGTGGGTGCGTCAAGGTCGTCTTCCAAGTATTTGGAACACGCACAGATACAAACACACGTTGTTCGCTCACTGGCCCACATGTCAAATTGCTCGCTGATTCATCAGACATTATAATGGACATGGAAACCGGCTTGCAAAAAAAAAATAAAAAAAAAACAAATTATGCATTTTGCCGCCACTGCTGTCAAGTTCAAGTTTGGCTTACGAATAACTGGATTGACTGATGTAATCATTATTTTAGCACGCTAGACTAGACTAGCATTAAAAGCCCTTTCCCCAGACAGTCCATGTAGTGGAGATTTTCCCGTTTTAATTTTTCAATTAATTTTTGTGAAATGATTTTAGAAGATATTCAAAATAGTATTTTATTACATATTATAAATCTATAATGAAAATTATGAACAAATAGATCTTAAAAATAACTTTTAGAGAATATGTATAAAAAATACTGAGCTATGTATATTGAGCAACATATCACAAAATTGAATGATATAAAAAAATTTATTCGATACTAAATAGGATCTTGAAGAAAAGATTTAAAGAATTAATAATGTGTTTTTGTTTCGAAAATATTAGCCATCAAAAAACAACCAATATTAATTTATAACGATTTAAACTGTTCACATATATATGATTTGGAAACTAAACAAAATTGTGTTTGAATAACAATTTCACTTCGATTTTTGAACTCAGAACTTCAATCAATCAGAAATATACATACTCTTATATAGGTATAGTACGTCTATATGCTCAAAATTCAAGAGGCTTTGAACTTGGAGAGTTCGCATTGGATTGTTAGCTATTCAAATATTTGTGTTAGTTAGTTATGTTGATTATTGCGTGACTAATAAGTTCACTTTCGAGTGCTTAGAAGCTTGAAATCGATGCGTAACGAATTGTTTGTAAGGAGTGTAATGAAACGCCTATTTCACGGTTGTATTACGGAGTACAATTTTAGCCTATAGTATCTAAAGTTAGAACAATTTATTGGTTTCCAGTCTGAGAAAACACTTAGGAAACACACTCTATATGAGTCACAGGCAGAACGATGCATCTGTGGCTATTACTTGCCAAAATTTGTCTGTACATTTTGCCTTTAAATGCAAGTATGTGAGAAGGATTTGGGTTTCAAAGGTTTATAAGTATACGAATAATTGAACATTTCAGATACCACACTTAGTGCCGATTATCAGAATTGGCTGAAACATGTAGAACAGAAGGCAATGGCCCAACTGCGCACAATAATGGACAAGTCGGATCGGTTTATGCATTCGAGGGAGCCAGAACTGCACCAAGCACTGCAGAAGGTACAAAAGGCCGTAAGTGGGCCTTCTAGAGTGGGACTGCCTGCCAAGCTGATGGCGTTGCAACATTTTGAAAATGTTAAGCTGCAAAAGCAACTGCGAGAAAAGTTGCAATTTGTGGAGAGCTTAGTGAATAAAAGCGATACAGCCTGCATGGCATACTACGGCCAATTGATAAAACAAATGGCCCGCGCACTTCAAGGGAACAACGAGCAGAAGAAAAAAGAATTTATTGATATGGAAGTGAAATGTGACAAGAAAACGCATCGAAAGTCGAAATTGAAACTAAAGAGCGTAATGGCTAATCTAGCAAAGGTGAGTTTTGAATAATTGGTAAAAGGTTTGGGTAATAGTTGCTCTTCTTGTGTGCCGCAGGGTCCGGTGGAGGTATTGTTGGGCAAACTGAATACAAAGTTTAATGCCATCTTAGAGAAGTATAAGGATAGACCGGATTACGCCGCGAACAATGACGAGTTCGATAAAATGTATAATTTAGTGAATCAGGGAATTAAAATGGGTCCATATGAGATAAATTTAAAACAGAAAGTCTATGCAGAGTTCCTCTTATATAACACCTATAGACTGGAGTTTGAAAATCAAATAACAAAGAAATTGAAGGTAGTAGGGGACGCCCTTGTCAAAAATGAAATGTCAGAGAATTGCAAGCAACATTTTCTTAATGTGCGAGAGACGCTCACTAAGTTTGTAACTGAGACAAATGCGAAGAAAAGGGAATTGTTGCGTTTCATTAAGTTGGACTGTCCCCCTGAGCCATGTCCGACAGACGGTGAAGGAGATTCCATTACTCCCCCAAAACCAGAAGAAACGTTGGCGCCTGACAACTCATCTACCGTAAAGGTTAAACATCGTTTTCATTTAAAAAACTGATCATTTTCGTTATCTACTTTATTCGATAGGAGTGCTCTGAGGATATTTTCCCGAAACTGCTCAAAGAGATTGTCGACAAATACGCTAAAAGGCCCGAAAATTCGGCAAACAATGGTGAATTTGAGGACATGATGAAAGATGTTAAGTCCGCATTAGATCAGGGTAATCCAACCGTCCAGTCCGAAGCCTACAAAAACTTTACCGTTTATGATAACCTACGAAAACAACTGGACGAACAGCTAAAGAAGAAACGGGGCAAGATTTTGAACAAGTCAGAAATGGACAAAGAATCGGAAGAGTGCCGTCAGTATTACAAGGACTTGCTACCCATTTACGACAAGGTTATGAAAGAGAGCAATAATATAAAATTTAATAAATTATGGGAAAGTGACTTAGAGTGTCCGCATGCAGGTTCGTGTAAAGCCCCAGAGACAGGTGATCAGCCGCCCACTAGCCAGGTACGTAGCAGATTCATCGAAAATCTTATCTCGATTCATAATATCTTAATATTAGAATCCAGAAAGTGCCTGCGATGATCTCATTACAACGAAGTTAAAGAAACTAAAGGAACAGTACAAAAACAGACCGAATCATACGGCTAACAATCCGGAATTTGAGCAAATGATGAAAGCCGTAGACGAAGCTATACCATTGAGTCCAAAAAGTGTAGACCAAAAAACGGATGCCCTTGTCAACTTTACGTTATACGATAAAAAACGCAAAGATCTAGAAAATGAAATAGGTCTCCAATTGGGTAAAATAAAGGATAAACTTGCCACGGATATATCTCCAAATTGCAAATCTCGCTATAATGACATGGTGAAGGAACTGGAAGCTGCATTCACGAAGACTAATGAAGAGAAATCGCGTATATTAAATGGACTTCAGTTAGATTGTACATCACCGGTACGTAGAAATTTGGAAGAAAACAATCTTATTCCTAACAATCTCATTATCATACTAAATATCTGTATAGACACCTGACGATGACCTCATAACAAAGAAATTAAAGAACCTTAAGGAACAGTACAAAGACAGACCGAGTCATACGGCTAACAATCCCGAATTTGAGGAAATTATGAAAGCAGTCGATGAAGCAATACCTTTGAGTAGAGAAAATTTAGACCAAAAAACGGATGCCCTTGTCAACTTTACGTTATACGATAAAAAACGCAAAGATCTAGAAAATGAAATAGGCCTCCAATTAGGTAAAATAAAAGATAAACTTGCCACAGATGTATCTCCAGATTGCCAGAGTCCCTTAAAGGACATGGTGAAGGAACTTGAAGCTGCCTTCATAAAGACTAATGAAGAGAAATCGCGCATATTAAAGGGACTTCAATTGGATTGCTTAGAAGCCACTACACAGGTACGTAGCATTTCATAAGAAAACCATTTTGTACTCAATATTCTCATTATCTGCATAGAAACCTGACAATGAACTCATAACAAATAAGTTAAAGCAACTTAAGGAGCAGTACAAGAACAGACCGAATCATACGGCTAACAATCCCCAATTTGAGGAAATGATGAAAGCTGTCGACGAAGCTATACCAATGAGTCCAGAAAAGTTGGACCACAAAAAGAAAGTCTATGACAAATTTACAGATTATGACAAAAAGCGCACAGAACTAGAAAATGAAATAGGCCTCCAATTGGGTAAAATAAAAGATAAACTTGCCACGGATGTATCTCCGGATTGCCAGAGTCCCTTAAAGGACATGGTGAAGGAACTTGAAGCTGCCTTCATAAAGACTAATGAAGAGAAATCACGGATATTAAAGGGACTTCAATTGGATTGCTTAGAAGCCACTACACAGGTACGTAGCATTTCATAAGAAAACCATTTTGTACTCAATATTCTCATTATCTGCATAGAAACCTGACAATGAACTCATAACAAATAAGTTAAAGCAACTTAAGGAGCAGTACAAGAACAGACCGAATCATACGGCTAACAATCCCCAATTTGAGGAAATGATGAAAGCCGTCGACGAAGCTATACCAATGAGTCCAGAAAAGTTGGACCAAAAAAAGAAAGTCTATGACAAGTTTACAGATTATGACAAAAAGCGCACAGAACTAGAAAATGAAATAGGCCTCCAATTGGGTAAAATAAAGGATAAACTTGCCACGGATGTATCTCCAAAGTGCCAGAGTCCCTTAAAGGACATGGTGAAGCAGCTTGAAGCTGCCTTTATAAAGACTAATGAAGAGAAATCGCGCATATTAAAGGGACTTCAATTGGATTGCTTAGAAGCCACTACACAGGTACGTAGCATTTCATAAGAAAACCATTTTGTTCTAAATATTCTCATTATCTGCATAGAAACCTGACAATGAACTCATAACAAAGAAGTTAAAGCAACTTAAGGAGCAGTACAAGAACAGACCGAGTCATACTGCTAAAAATCCTGAATTCGAGGGAATGATGAAAGCCGTCGACGAAGCTATACCAATGAGTGCAGAAAAGTTAGAACACAAAAAGAAAGTCTATGACCAATTTACAGATTATGACAAAAAGCGCATAGAACTAGAAAATGAAATAGGCCTCCAATTGGGTAAAATAAAGGATAAACTTGCCACCAATGTCTCTCCAGGATGCCAGTCTCGCTTTAATGACATGTTGAAAGAACTTCAAGCTGCCTTTACAAAAACAAATGATGAGAAATCAAGTATATTAAAAGGACTTCAATTGGATTGTGCAGAGGTACGTAGCATTTCATAAGTAAACAATCTTATTTCCAACATTCTCACCATCATATTTAATATCTGTATAGAATGCTGATAATGATCTCATAACAAAGATGTTAAAGCAACTTAAGGAGCAGTACAAGAACAGACCGAGTCATACAGCTAAGAATCCTGAATTCGAGGGAATGATGAAAGCCGTCGACGAAGCTATACAAATGAGCGCAGAAAAGTTAGAACACAAAAGGAAAGTCTATGACCAATTTACAGATTATGACAAAAAGCGCATAGAACTAGAAAATGAAATAGGCCTCCAATTGGGTAAAATAAAGGATAAACTTGCCACCAATGTCTCTCCAGGATGCCAGTCTCGCTTTAATGACATGTTGAAAGAACTTCAAGCTGCCTTTACAAAAACAAATGATGAGAAATCAAGTATATTAAAAGGACTTCAATTGGATTGTGTAGAGGTACGTAGCATTTCATAAGTAAACAATCTTATTTCCAACATTCTCACCATCATATTTAATATCTGTATAGAATGCTGATAATGATCTCATAACAAAGATGTTAAAGCAACTTAAGGAGCAGTACAAGAACAGACCGAGTCATACTGCTAAAAATCATGAATTCGAGGGAATGATGAAAACGGTCGACGAAGCTATACCAATGAGTGCAGAAAAGTTAGAACACAAAAGGAAAGTCTATGACCAATTTACAGATTATGACAAAAAGCGCATAGAACTAGAAAATGAAATAGGCCTCCAATTGGGTAAAATAAAGGATAAACTTGCCACCAATGTCTCTCCAGGATGCCAGTCTCGCTTTAATGACATGTTGAAAGAACTTCAAGCTGCCTTTACAAAAACAAATGATGAGAAATCAAGTATATTAAAAGGACTTCAATTGGATTGTGCAGAGGTACGTAGCATTTCATAAGTAAACAATCTTATTTCCAACATTCTCACCATCATATTTAATATCTGTATAGAATGCTGATAATGATCTCATAACAAAGATGTTAAAGCAACTTAAGGAGCAGTACAAGAACAGACCGAGTCATACTGCTAAAAATCATGAATTCGAGGGAATGATGAAAACGGTCGACGAAGCTATACCAATGAGTGCAGAAAAGTTAGAACACAAAAGGAAAGTCTATGACCAATTTACAGATTATGACAAAAAGCGCATAGAACTAGAAAATGAAATAGGCCTCCAATTGGGTAAAATAAAGGATAAACTTGCCACCAATGTCTCTCCAGGATGCCAGTCTCGCTTTAATGACATGTTGAAAGAACTTCAAGCTGCCTTTACAAAAACAAATGATGAGAAATCAAGTATATTAAAAGGACTTCAATTGGATTGTGCAGAGGTACGTAGCATTTCATAAGTAAACAATCTTATTTCCAACATTCTCACCATCATATTTAATATCTGTATAGAATGCTGATAATGATCTCATAACAAAGATGTTAAAGCAACTTAAGGAGCAGTACAAGAACAGACCGAGTCATACTGCTAAAAATCATGAATTCGAGGGAATGATGAAAACGGTCGACGAAGCTATACCAATGAGTGCAGAAAAGTTAGAACACAAAAGGAAAGTCTATGACCAATTTACAGATTATGACAAAAAGCGCATAGAACTAGAAAATGAAATAGGCCTCCAATTGGGTAAAATAAAGGATAAACTTGCCACCAATGTCTCTCCAGGATGCCAGTCTCGCTTTAATGACATGTTGAAAGAACTTCAAGCTGCCTTTACAAAAACAAATGATGAGAAATCAAGTATATTAAAAGGACTTCAATGGGATTGTGCAGAGGTACGTAGCATAAGAAAACAATCTTATTTCTAACATTCTCACCATCATATTTAATATCTACATAGAATGCTGATGATGATCTCATAACAAAGAAGTTAAAGCAACTTAGGGAGCAATACAAGAACAGACCGAGTCATACTGCTAAAAATTCTGAATTCGAGGAAATGATGAAAGTCGTCGACGAAGCTATACCAATGAGTGCAGAAAAGTTAGAACACAAAAAGAAAGTCTATGACCAATTTACAGATTATGACAAAACGCGCATAGAACTGGAAAATGAAATAGGTCTCCAATTGCGTAAAATAAAGGATAAGCTTGCCACCAAAGTTTCTCCAGGATGCCAGTCCCACTTTAATGACATGGTGAAAGAACTTCAAGCTGCCTTCATAAAGACTAATGATGAGAAATCGCGTATGTTAAAGGGACTTCAATATGATTGTTCCGAAACCTCTACACAGGTGCGTAACATTGTATAAGAAAACAATCATCTTCTCAGTCTTTTCAATATATGCATAGAGTGCCGCCAATGCTGCCGATGAGCTCATAACAAAAAGATTAAAGGAACTACAGGTTAATTATAAAAACAGACCGGGTCATACTGCTAATAATCTAGAATTCGATGCATTGATGAAAATCGTCGATGAAGCAATACCACTGGGCTCAGAATTCATGGACCTAAAAACTGAGATATACGCCAACTTCACGGGCTATGACAAAAAACGTATCGAACTAGAAGGTGCAATACAATTACAATTGACTAAACTAAAAGGCAAACTTGCCACCAATGTCTCTGCGCACTGCAAGTCTCACTATGAGGCAATGATAAAGACACTTCAAGCTGCTTTCACAAAGCCAAATGATAAGAAATCGAGCATACTAGAGACGGCTCAATTGGACTGTGTAGAAGCAACAACAGAAATGGTAACAGAGGTGCTTTCTACCGCTAAAGAGGAGGAAACTACCACTCAACCAATTTCTGCGGAACCAACGACACAACCTATGACCCAAAGCCCACAAGAGGAAGGGACTCTTAGTGATTTCGATGTGGCAAATAGGATTTGTGGTGAAGAACTTTTGGGCCCAGTTGTTAGGCGCAGAGGGCCGGCACTACCCACAAAACGTATAAACTGGGTAAGTGCGCCATTCAAGTGGTACTTCCAATAACTGACTTTGCTTCTCATGTTCCACAACTCGTTAAACACAGCTACCACATCCTAGCGATGATCTTTGTACGATTCAGCTGAAACGGTTTATACACAAATATCGCCTACGTCCTAATAACACAAAAGCCAACCATGAGTTTGAGCAGCGCATTTGGACAGTGTACATGACTCTCGATCTGAATCGTGGTAGCATAAAAGAGAAAGCACGGGTCTACAACGAGTTTTTAAAGTATGATAAGCTGCGTTTATATCTGGATTCCATACTTGAGGCCAAGATACATGAATGTGAGGTTAGGTTGGCCGATAGCCCTTCCGCAAGTTGTAAGAAGACATTGATGCGCGCAAAGAACGAGTTCAGAGGAGCTCTCAAGGCAGCAATATCTGACAAGCAAAAGGCTATAGCCAAGAATTCGATGATTTGTGAAACGGGTGACGAAAATTATTATTAACGAATTCAATCAGTTCTGTAGCAAAATAATACGTATTCATAATATTTTACTATCAAACAAATCGACAATTAAAACACAAAGCCTTTATTGAATTGAACACACCTTACTCATGTACATATGTAAAACTAGCATTCAATTTAAAAGCCTGTCTTTATACTTCGGTTTAAAATATGTGCTAAAAATCTAAACACCGGTACTCTTTAATAACGAATGGATTACATTTTACCAATTCATCTGGCTATACATTATTCATCACCAAATACAACCACGCTTTAAAAGTAATGACAAGTTTGGTTGTTCCACCTCTTATACGTTCTGAGATCCTTGCGTTCATACGGACATGGCTATATCGACTTGTCATCCTGATCAATAACATATCTATGTATATACTTTCGTGGGTCTGCCACGCCTTCTTCTGTATGTTACATACATTCGCACAAAACTAGTATACCCTTTCATCCGTTGGGTACAGGGTATAAAAATTAAAAAATGTATTGCTGTCTGTTGTTTCCATATTAGCATTTTTTTTATATTTCTATAGATAAGCTGTAACTAAACTCCTAAATGCAGAGAATCGATAAGTGATTAGCATTGTTCATTTTGCTTCACATACATACACTCTTATGTATGCATCTATGCATGTACATACACACATCTGTACACACATGTATATATATGTATAAAAGATGCTCTCAACTGTACATAATTGAGATTAAGGTCATATGAACATAGATAAAGAGAGCAACGTCGAAACGGGATAAATCGAAGACTAAGTCTCGGACAACGAAAGTTAATGTTTTCGACACACAATTTATGTCATATACACATGCATATGCAGATATGCAAATTAGTAAAAAGCACAATTATTCAGCGGTGTCAAGCCAGAGAAGGTCCGTGAAATACTACATAGATGCATATATGTATGTATGTATACGTAAAAAATATCTTTCAGGGACTTTGTGCCGTTCAATCAAAAAGAAAAGAAACCGACAACAGTGCGCCGATTTGTTGCTGACGTCGTCACTCTGTCCACACTTTCTACGGAGCCGAGCCGATCAGATCACTCCACACGACCGACGACATTGGCAACCGACGGCGGCGTCGACGTCACGCCAAGTCATACGATTGTTGAACGTTAGTTGCACATGCTCTCCTCTCTTCCTCCCTCCCTCGCACTTCCGCTCTCCCGTTCTGCTACGTGAGTAAAAAGTAAACAATACGATAAATGGGTATGTGTGTGCGTAGAGTGACGCGATATCTTTACCTCATCGGCAGGCAACAATTTGGGAAATTATTTTCGGACAACAATTGGCAACTTTTGTCACCTGCTGCGGCTTATCAGTGGGACTCTTATCAATAAGAAGTTCTTCCGTTGCATTTATCACAAAACACGTTATGAGCAAACAATAATAAATAAATTATGACCTTTAACCCTAGACATTCGAGCAAATTTTTGCAAAAAGGTGTACTTCAAGTAATTTTATAAAAGTGATTAATTGTTAAGGTTGTTTTCTAGCAAAGGCTTGAGTCCACTCGACTCTATCATTCCTTTTTAGTTTTTTTAAAGATTCATGGTAAAAGGGTGGATCTCCAGCCATTTGACATTCAAACGATCGTAAAACAGTGAAAATTTAAAGTCCAAGATTAATGGTCTAGGGGGGTTAAAACAATGCTACGATTGGACCTTCTCGCTCAATGCCGAATGACTTGTAGCAGCTTAAATTACAGCTCAACCTATCCGGTCGAAACTTTGTGCCCCCTTTTTAAGCGGAGCAAAGTTCATTATCATCGCCAGTCGTTTTCTCAGCTTTAACGCTGACGCAACGTTGACGCTGACGTCGTCGTTGGCGGCCCCAGCTTATGCTTCGAGATTCGTTCAGGCAAAGGTTAATGTACGTTGCTCGCTTGCTTTCTAAGTTGCTAAATTCTTGGTAGTCACAGCAACAACAAAAACTGCTTGGTTGGCACATTTCGTTTTGGAGTTTTGCACTTCTTTTTCGTCTCCTCTGTGTCTCTCTCACGATTACTTAGTTGAGCATTTCAATGGCAAAACTTGAAAAAAGTACAGTTGTGTGCGAAGTACATAGATCTACTGAGCTCAAGTTCTCGGGGTTTTTACACTGGGCCTTTACTTTGTTTTGCATTGATAAGCCACACACTGGCATTGTGTTTATGCATAAATACCACGTAAGAGAGCGTGTGTTGGGCTTGACATTTCGGAGATAACCTTTCGGTATTATCTATCGATTATAGTTCGTTCGCCGAAAATCGCAGAAACGTTTGCAATCGTTTCAATAATCGTCGTACGTGCTCCAGTTCGAAGTTCCCGGAATTATTTATCAAATATTTGCACTCAACTATATACATATGTATGTATACATGTATAGTATGTACACAGTATAATAATTACACATACAATGTGCAATTACTCACGTTCAGAGGCAAACAATTCGAACACATTGTTAATAACTGCGGGTCTTACAAAAGTCACTTCTGGTTTGTGTTTTTATACTTAAAGATTTACGACTAGAAACTTAAGCGCACATGTCATCAGTTAACCCATTGATGCTAATAAGGTATATTGAAGTTACTTAATTAGCATCACGAAATATTAATTTTATATCAGCGAAATATTTCAGGTTAAGATAAAAACAAAGTCCAGAAGTTAATTTATTTTAAGATCTTTTATAGAATAATATTTTATGTAATATGGATATTGTATGAAAATTTATTAATATTATAAGAAATAGTTAGCGGTCTTAAAATCTACGAACTAAAAAGTCTTAATACGTTCCTATAAAAATTTAACAGCCACACGATAGCACTATTTTCAATTGAAATGTCAAATACCCGAGGGTTAATAGGAAACGTTGTTGTTTTTTTTTTATTTCTGAATTTCTGAACCAGTCTCCACTTGAAATAAGAACATTATTGGGAAACCGATCGCAGGGTATAGAAACAATTTTCTGTCGACTGCAACTTTACGTCGTAATCATGGGTTATACATACATATGTATGTTTTTATGTAAACTCGTTGTTTTGCCTTTTAAAATATAATTATCTAATCAGCCTGCTTAGTTGCATAATTGAAGGTTAACGCTAAACAAAATACAGTTAAATATTTATATGTAGCTTAAGCTAGCTAGAAGAAAAAAGCTGGTGCTATCAGCTTAAAAAAAAAAAAAAAAAAAAAAAAAAAAAAAAATATTGGGAGAGTGAGAGAAGAGAGGTGGGAGAGGGTTTCACGCACTGCTAGTAAAAAATTCATTGATTTCATTTCATTGAAACGGTACGCAGCTAATAAAAAAGAAGAAAAAACAGCTGACTGAGTACCTGTGCGTGGGCCGATACGCAACGACGCGACGTCACCACGAGCGTCATGTGTGTGAGCTGCGATCGCAACATCAAATAAAATAACACCAAAAGACTGCGTGTGCGACTTTTTGAATTTGCAGTGAAATTAAATATTATCATCGTCACAAAGTAAAATGTTATGGGGGCGGGTAGGTGGGAGTAGGCAGCTGGCGACTGACTTGAGAAAGTGGGACACGTGCAAAACAAACACTACACTCAGCGGAGCATGCTGTGGCAGCGACGCCGGCGTCGAAGTTGACTGTGCATGAGTAATTCGCCGATTTTTGTGAAAGACAAAAAAAAAGAGCTCAATGTACATAACATTAAATAAGTTTTTTTGCTGTATTTGTAGTATGTAGATGACGCCAACTGAAAATCATACGATCACAGCGCAAAGTTCAAAATGCAGAGGAAGAGCGCAACAAAATAAGTTGCATGTTGCAAGTTTGCAGACACACAGTCGTCGGGTGGAAATTTGCCCCACATAGCTATGTATATACATATGTGTCAACATACATACGTACATATGTATGTATCTATGTATTTAGTTAAATAAAATGACGGCTAAACAATTCAGAAATGTTCGAACTTTTCGGAAAAAAATTGACCATGGGGCCTCATCCCTTTCCACCCAGTACACACATATACATATTATTCATACATACATACATATATAAAAAGGTCGTACGATGAGTCAATGACGTGGCCCAGCTGCAAAAGAAAACGCAAAGGAAAGGCAATGAAATGGTTAGGTCCCTCAGCTGCTCTCATAAGCGGCAGCGGCGGTGCCAGCAAAAAAAATTATTGGCTGCTTGCCGGCTATTTGACTATACATATGTGAGAAAGAAATCAATGCCGCAGCAGCTGTAAAGAATACAAAAAAAATTGCCCAACGATTATGTAAACACAACACTAGATGTTAGACAGAGTGCATTTTTGGACCCAAAACCCAATAAAAACGCACTAGTTAGAACTCACTCAAAGGGAGCAGTCACGAGCGACAATAAAATAATATTCAGCTAAGCCCTAAGAAAAGCAGCGCAGAGAGCGGGAATTTCGTTCACCTCACAAACAAGAATAGGCTGCGTTATCTATACGGAGACGTCAACGTCATCGACGTCTGTAAATATTTGCGAACATTTCACATTTGTAATCGGCCACAACGAAAGCAGCAAGCATAACAACAATACATGGTATAGTAAAAGCTAGACTTAATGCCATGAGGCGCTGAAGGTGGCAACTTACTTTTAGCTCTTGCTTGAAATTTGATTCGCTTCTTCTTGGCTAAAAATCGATGCAGTTGTTAATATATTTGTTTTGACTGTCTCTGTCCCGTTATGACGCAGCAACTTATTACCCTTCACTTTAATTCAATGTGTTGCGCTTGTCAGCGATTTTCACAATTTGCCACAGCACCGGGAACTTGTTATTGTTGCTTCTGCAATCGTACCAATTAATGGTAATAATTTTCTTTAACTAATTGTCGTTAATGTCCGTAACCACGGTGCGAAGCCTTCCAGCCACTTGCGTTGCGCGCATTAAGAACTCGGTTATTGAAAGTCAAAAGCAAAAGTGCTACCAATCTTAGCCCAGGGCTCCAAAGCCGGCAAACACGTTGCGCCTAATTTTGACTTAAATACCAAAAAATACTGCTCTTTTATAATTTATAGAAATCATAGACAAACTTTCAACAATTTATAGAACAAAAAAATAGATTTAGAATAAGTGTCTACGAAAATGCATGGAATTATTAGACAAAGTAAGAAACAACTTTTTATTAAAAAACGATAAGTGGCTGTGTGCTGTTTAACATTATATTTTAAAGGCTAATAAATAAATCTTTTTAGATTCTCTTTTTCTTCACATTAGCTAATAGATCAACAGAAGATGAAAGTACCACAGCTGGTACTACACTTGTATATACTTTGTATACCGCTTTTAATATGATTAATAGCAAAACGCAGCCAATGCATGAAGGTAAAATGAGCGGCACTCTGCATTCCGGGATAACATAATTATAAAACCTAACTTGCTTATAAATTGTCCGTTAATGGCGTCATCTCGACAAGTGCTGCTGAAAGAGACATTTCTAACAGTGAATGTTACTTTTAATATTTTTGACCCCGCCACTTAGTCAGTTTCTTGTCACCGTGACAAAGTAACATTATTAACACACTGTGTATACTTAACAGTGATTTAAATATTTTATCTCGGCTTCTAAATAAAATTACCGTTATAATGATCTTTGACAGGGATTATAAATAGACTTCCTTGCTTTAGATCTTAATATAAATATATTGTTATTAGGAAACTGAGAGATAAACGTTGAAATAGAACATTTAAACATTACTTGTTTGTCTTTTGTATATTTATTGACTCTTTCATGTCTTATTGCTAACAACTTCGTACAGTACAATTCTTTGAACCTTTTTTTGGCTACATAATTTATATAAAAAATAAAGCTTAAATACTTTTAACTTAGAAACACATTGTTAGATACCATATATATAATCTCTTGCTATAGTCTTTTCAAAAAATATCATAAAATTCACAAAACAGAGTTTCTTTGGTACACAAATATGCATATGTATATAAGTAGTAGAGTCGACTAAACAAAAAGCTACCTTGAAGTACATTAACAAATTCAATAGAACGTGCTATTAACACATAACTTAATAATAATAATAAAGAAAAATACAAAACAATTTAAATTGACAAAGTGGTGAGGAAATATGTATGCATCTTAACTACTAGCTAGATAGATTCTTGAACAACATTTTTAGAATTGTGTATTATAGTATTTGTTAATTGCACAGTATTTGAAAATTCGATTGCATTAATGACAAGGAATTCTGTTCAACTTTGGCTTCACATTCACTTTCTTTGAACACTTGGCAAGCGTGGGACGATAATGGCAAGTGAGTAGGAAAAGTGTTCAATAAACGTATATATATATATATATATATATGTGTGTGTATAATTCTAAAATAACAACGAATTCGAGCTTGGAGATTTCAGTTACGTTTGGAGTCAATCGATTCGAATGGTACTTATAGCATATCATATATGTATATATATTTATGAGTATTTTAGGTCACTGGTTGCAAATGTCTGTGGGGGAGTGACAGGACTAATCGGCTCAGCACTGCGACGGAATGCGTATGCCTTGGGTGATCGAGTTCTCGAGGACAATGTGACAGTCATCGAGTGGTTCCAGGATTTGTATGAGAAATGTTAGAAGATTGCGCCTTCGCAGGAAACTCTCCTCCTCGTACATCTCTTGCGTCACTTTAGTAAGAGCCATCGGCTTAATCATGCGTGTAAGTAAATGTTCTCTGTGGAATTTAAGGATTAGATTAGATTCTTAGCAACTCTAAGCTTGTCAGATCAACTCAGATCATTCCCCCCCTTAAAACTTTACAACTTTCGTCGTAATTTATCTAACAAGAAGCATCTATGGATATAATTCACACAACATTCTCACAACTTGATTATCGATCTGAAAACGGCGATTAATGCTCAAAATTCTTGACTAAAAACTGACATTTTGGAAATATGCATATGAGCCCGAAACAAAAGAGGCAATCGACCTCATGGCTCTTCCAAGACGAGTCAAAAACAACCAAATTTTTGTGGTTGAAACACTTCTAGCAATTGATACTCTATTTCATCATTATGTCGGGGTTTTTTCTTTAAAAGAACGGAGGACCGTCAATTCTGAATAGCAGACAAGCAAAAACTGCATCTCTCTTAATCAAGACAGTGTGAGCCCCCACACATCGACGAACGGCCAACTATTTGAGCAATCCAAACATCCTGACACCATAAAATGGTTTCCAATGAACTCACGAGCATCTGTTCTCTATTCCTGACACATAATAGGCAGCACTACGAGTAACTTACCGCAGGCTTAGGCAGATGAGCAGTTGAAATTTGCCATCCTTGCCCAGCGTGCTGGCCGTGCCATTAATCTCATCCATTAGCTGGACATACAAACGCCATATGCTGGAAATCTCACGACGTTGCAAGCTGTTGCCGCTGCCATTGCTAAACGAGGAGTCCATGCTCGATGCGGAGTCTTCCAATTCCAGCTGCAAATTCTGCTCAAAGAGCTCCTTAATCTTGGCTGTGGAGTAGAGATATTTGAAATTGATTAAACAAACTATTAAATTGAATAAAAAGAGTAAACTCACTAAAATAGTCCCATATATAGAGATTGCGACCGAAGAAACGCGCCGATCTGAAGCCGCATAGGAAGACCTGCTCGAGACACTTAACCAGTCCATCGTCGCCGCAAAGCAAATTGGTTAGCGTGCCCACATCCCGGTCCCGACTTGGCTTATAGTGCCACTTCACAATTACGTTGACACAGTTCCCCAGCTGGTGTTGAATTTCCGAAGGTGCCACCGAATCCTGACGCTGGACACTGGGACTGCGCGTACGCGGCGGCGTCCGTGTGGCTGGAAGTAGTTCAGCGTTCTTGACGCTCAGCGAGACGCGTTGTCCCACCAACAGACGTTCCGTGGAATCATCGTCCACGCCCTTACCTAGCCAGCGACCACAAGGAAATCTGGGAGAAAAGCAAGGCCCAAGTTAATATACTCCTTTTTTGGGGTTTATAACGGAGGGGTAACCAACTTGTAGGTGTGTCCTGTGACTTCGTTGCGCATCACCACGTGCTCAACTAGCCACTTGTGGGAGGGACCGGCACCTGAATTATCGGGTCCTATGCCTAAGCGCATGGTGGTTAGCAAGCCAAGATTTTTATACTGGGTTCATAGAGAGGTGGGAATTGATTAGAGCGCATAGTTTTTGGGCCAACATGCTGATGCACTTACATGGAAGATGAACTCTAGAGACCCCTTTGGCACGGGCACACGCTGTGTTTCGTTCATAGTGCCCGATACAATGATCCAAATATTGCTGGAGGTGTGATACGCGCCGTATTTCCGGGACGGGAAGATAACCACACGATACGGCAGTTCTAAATAGAAAAGTGAATAGAAACGTTAAATAGGCATGGAATCGGTTTTAAATAACAAATAATCGGTATCGATTCTAGAACAGTTATGTGCATATATAATATGCTATCCTGATATGACTTTATGTTGACTTTATGTGATGTTGGAGAAACATCATTGACATATGTATGTGTGTACTTTCTAAAACCCGACTCGATACGTTATCTTCTGAAGCAAATACGTTTTCTAAAAAACCACTATCTAAAGCCTGATCGTTTCTATGGCAACTATATAATATAGTAGTCTGATTTAGTTAAAAAATAATATTAAATAAAAGCAGTAAAAATTTAATTTAGCTGAGATAGATAGATAATCAACATTATCGGTTCTCTTACTTGTCGTGGGATAGATGTTGGTGAAGGAAAAGTAATCGACAGTGTTTAGGGTTAACAAATGATAGAGAAATTGTTCCTTTTCCTCCTCGCAGCGCAGGAACGCGGATCGCTTGTAGAGAGAGCGAAGCAGAGTATCATCGGAAAGCAGAGTGCGAAAGTGTCGAGAGAGCAATTTCTTTTCCAGCGAGAGACGAACCCAGGCGCGTGTATAACCAATGTGCGTTTTGATGTCGGCCATGGCCAGCACGTTTCTGCGAAAGAAATATTCGTGTTAGCAATAAACAATAATCTCCATATAGAGGAAGTTCAGCTCTTTACTTGACATCGAACTCCAGAGACTCGGGTAGTGGACATAGCTGCTCTAAACCCACAAACTTGTTACGATCTCGCGAACGACTGCGATTCGGGCTACCCGAATTCGACATTTCGAAATCGGTTTGGAATGTCGAGAGATCTGACGAGTGTACGAATGTGAATATGGAAAGATATCTGATTTTAAAACTTCTTTTAACTTACAATCCATGCGCTTACGCATTGCGTTCCAGGCCAGGGCCGGCGAGGCGGACGCCATAGCCATTTTTGTGCTCGGACTGCTGCCGCAGTTGGCAGCCGGAATGGTGGATTGCTGCTCCACACTGGCATTGCCGCGAGCCTCCTGTATTTCTAGATAGGACTGCAGATGTGCCCAGAGCGCAGACTTCCCCTGCTTATTCTGCAGGCCATGTGACCAGATCTTCTCCAGCAAATCACACAGACTGGCTATTAGTGTGTTCTCCTCAATGCCATCGCCTTTAAGGCCCAATGCGACGGCCTCGTTGCCCATTTTTTCGAGTAGCATGCGTTTCGTTTTCGATTTGATGTCCTTTAAAGAAAGTTAATTATATAAGTGGAAATTAGAAATAGATTCCAGTTCAATCTGATTTGGCGGAATTGATTATGACAATTAAAAGAGTTTCATTGAATTTGGCGTAATTGAGTTCGCTAGATTTTACAAAATGATTGAATTTTGTGAATTCCACTTATTATATCAAGACTGTTAACCATCCTGTTTTAAGTTCCATTTAAATAATATGCTTCGAAATCCATTTCGCTAGATTTTCACAATATTCATTTGGTAATTCGATGCATTTGTTATCAGGCCTTTTCTAAGTATCATTTTCATTTATTCATCGGTATAGATTTCGCTAGATCTTTGAATTTTCACTAAGTGATTTAATTTAGCGAATCCCATTCAATGGCACGAAATTGATTTCGGTATATGTATGCCGTTTTCCATTGAATTTTCGTAATTTCAGACAATTATTTGGCGAATTCCGAGGGAAAGGCACTGAATTGAATTCAATATAACTGTTATAACCCCTTTACTTCGTTCCATTTCGATGAAATTTGTCGAAATTGATTTGGTTAGAAATGCTCTCAATCCAGCCAAATATTTTGCGACAACTTCAAACGAAATGTAATCCAGAAGAAACTTATAGACTGATAACAATTATGGACGGTTCTAAGTACTCACTAGGGTATCGTATTTATAAATTAGTCGTACCTTTAATAGGCGTTCCACAAACGTCCAATTGGCCTGCGCTATCAACGCCGGACTGACATCCGCTGTGGTCAGATTTGCTGAGAGCCGATTGATCGCATTGTTCGTAGCGGGTTTTTGATCCAACGATATCTCCCGGGCACGCCATTTGTTGCCATTCTTGACGCGACGCAGGCTGTTGCCTCTGTTAGAAGCAATTCGATTCGATTCGATACGTATGATAAGGTTAGGCGGTATGAGTTTGAATTTTAGTGTAATTTCAATCGGGTTTTCAAAGAGAAGAAAGACAAAGTTGATTAGTGGAAAGTTCTAAATGGTTGGGGATCTGAAATGCATTGTTGTTGGGTAAGCGCATGCGGTGCAAATAGATAGGATTTATATAGAATCAGAATTCAAGCAAAATAATAATGATAATACAAAGAAAGAAAACGAAAGTTTCTGGTAACGTTAGAGTTCAGTTTATTGTTTTAGTTTTGAGTTAACTTTCGTTTAGCGCTAAAATAAATTAATGTACAAAAATTAAACAACACTAAAGGTCTAGTGGAAGACTGGCCCAACTAAATAGTACAAATATAACTCTTTAAACACATATGTATATATATGTAGATAATATCATGATATTGGTCGATCGATGCTAGGCATCGTAAGGTACACATTTCCATAAAGGTTATAACTTTATTGTTGGAGGGGGCAGGTGATAACAAAAAAGTGAGTGGTCAAATTTTGAAAACCGAGAACGAGCAGGGATTCTATAACTTGGTGGTTTGGTGGATTGGTTTGGAGCGTATTTGGTGAGCAAACATATAAGAAAACCAAAATGGAAAGTTGTCAACTACCTCGAGGCGCACTCCTGATTGAGGACGCCCTTCTCAAGCAGCGGAAAGCTCCGGAAGTAGGCGGCACGATTGGCGAGTATTTCACTTGGGGGCGTCACCTCAATGTCGATGCAGTTGAGACGCTTCTCGAAGCACTGCTGTGAGTCCTGGCTGAGCACGCAGGGCTCGTAGCTGGTTGCGCAGATCATATTCTCGCCATGTCGACGCCTAAAAAGTACACCCACTGATTACTCGTCTCACAAAAATCTCACTCTAGAGCTATTCACTCACCTCAAGAGCTTTACACGCTGATCGAAAAAGTGGAGCTGAGCATCTGGTTCGGATTCCCACATAGCCAAAATTTTGTTGTCGATGAGTGTGGCAAACATTTGAGATTCGAGGAAGCGTGAGAGAAAAGCCCGATGGTGCTCCGGCTGATCGGATAGAAACGAGGACTTGTCGAAGTTCTGCAATGTCTCGCGATTCGACAGCCACTCGTCCTTGGCCTGATTGGGATAGATGACGAAGTATTCGTAGGCATGGAACATGTGCACGAAGCGATTCAGAAATATCTCCCGCAATGAGTTGTTGATGCGCAGATCCTGATAGTATTGTTCCACAGGTGATAGTTTAGGCTTATCGTGCCGCCTCGACGCTGAGTTCAAACGGGAGGGTGGCAATGTTGCATCCACACTGTCCACATCGTGATAGAGGCCCGAGGGTGAGGACGAGAGCGAGGCATTGGCACTGCCTATGGGTGAGCCCGCGCTGGCCCCACGCATGCCGCCCTTGCGTCGCAAAAAGTCTGCTATACGGGGCACATGATCGATCTTGGAGGGATGCGCAATGAGAGGCTGATAGTCCATATGCGGACTTTGTGGTCCACCCACAATCGGTTGCGTTGGTCCGCCTAGCGTGTAGACTGTCTCCTGGAAGCGCTCTTTGCTGCGTCTCGCCGCCTGTAGACCAGTCGGCAGTGTACAGCTTGAGATCATGACGTCGTGGTTGTCACCGGAAGTCCGTGTCGCATAACCATTCTTGAGTGTCGGCTCATGGGCGCGATCGCGCTCGATTTCGAATTTATCCAGCACCGATATTATCTCGGCCATGAATTCTACTTTGTGTGGGAAAATGGGCAGCTCTTCAGGCAGCTGAATCAGTTTCTTATCAATGTCCACAAAGCAGAGAGTCGCTTCGCTGCCAATCTTATGAGCTGCCTCGCACTCCGCATGCAGGCCCATAACGAACGGCACTGGAGCGTCCAGAAAATGATGCAATGCCGCCGGCAGAATGGGCGCATACACATGTGGCCAAATGAAGGGAAACAGCAGCGAAGTAATACACTCCCCCACAATCATGAGTCTTTGGTAGTCTGTACGATAGAAATCCAGAGAGCTCTTTTAAGATACAACCTATAAAAAGACATACGCAGTTCACTTACCCGTCGAACGGAGCAGCACCTGATTCTCGAGCAGCACACAGGTCAGCAGTTGAATGACACATTCCACACCCAAATAGCTAAAGAGCAGGCGCAGCGGAAAGTCTAGAAGGGGCAGCTCTGTGGCCAGCGATGGACGTTGCAATATCAACGCAATGGCGGATAAATGGGGTTCGGGTGGTGGCAGGTAGACGCGTATTGACTTTCCCGGCTGAGGTAGCATCACTTCGTAGAGTATGTTATATACATAAGACTCAAGGCTTATGCCAGCACCGGGCTGCCGCGGAAGACATCTAAAGGAAGAGAGAAAAGGGCAGGAAAATAAATCAAAAATGTTCGGTATTCTGTTAAAAAAAAGGCCAGGCCCCAAATAGTCGTCTTTATTTTAGTGACTCCGAAATGAAAACGTTGTTTTTAAAGCCGACATGTGTTTAACATCTATTTAACACCTATTTGGTGACCCCGACCCAAGAACGTTGTGTTTTATTTTCAAAATCTGGTGAAACATTCAAATTTTAAAGGCGCACTATTCAAAGAAGGTAGAATAGGGTTTAAATGTATAGTTGAGGCAGTTAATAATTCCACTTGCAATGCTTGGAAATTTCATAGAAATTGCCTAGAAATTTCGTTAGTTAGTCACTCAAACTTCTCTAGAATCGAATAAAAATCTATCTATATTATAATAACACTAATCTAGGACCTTTTACACATTTCCAACAATTACTTATTCGTCCTTATTTTGTCTATAATTTAGATTATTCTACTCACTTGTACAAATTTTTGAGAAACATTTGGGCCGCAAAGGCGTACGGCGCCTGACAAATCAACGAAATGCTTTTGGCCACATACAACTTATCCTTATTAATGTCATAATAGCTTTGTGCGGACTGCGGCGCTTGGCCGGCCACTTTGAAGTGGCGCGGCAATGAACGACTCACGGGTCCGTCCTGCTTCACGCGACTCAGCGAGTGCGTCTGCTGTCCATTGGATAGCTCTGTGATGAACATCGATTGCAAAGTATGAATAGCCCCGCATATATTTCGATTTCGTATCTCCTCGTAGAAGACCAGACTGAAGCCGTAACAACGTTTCCCATCCTCCCGCGTCGTTGCAAATGAATGGAACTTCGGTTCAATGTTGTGCTTTTGTGTGCGAAAGCGAAGGCCCTGAGGCAGCGAGAGCTGTGGAGATAAACGAAATTGTGAATCCAATCAAAGGAAATTATAGTAGATAGAAAAGTAAAGATGATGCTATTATTTTTAAAAAGTGGTAAACGAACAATCAATCATTTTTAAGAAGGAAAAATATAAAAGTGTATAGGTTTAGGAACTTTAAAGAGCTTGTGATGTAAAGATTGTGTTTCATAGTTCCTCATATATCCAAACAAAAGTGCCGAATCAATCGTAAAACGGATCTTATTATTGACTAATTTTTGCCTTTCCCAAATGGTTCTCCCTAAAGCGGATGTCCAAAACACTTTTCGCTTTCTATTTTTTCTGATTTGTAATCACTTTTTCTTCGCCGACACAATTGATCAACAATTTATGATCTTAAGACATAAGGATATGCTTTCATCCTTAATTATTAAATTTAATTACAGCTGATTATATGATTCACATTCGGAGGATCTCTATATTACTGGAACAGAAGGGAAGAAAAACGATCTTGCAAATTAAAAAATGAATCCTGATGTTTTCAAAACAAAAAACCAGTTATTTTTCTTGATTTTTAAGGGAATTAATTGGAGTTGTAAGGATTTTATATCTTATATACATACATATTTTGGAACTCGATTATGATTATCGGAAATTCGAAAATACAATGCTTTTTTAAATTTGTAAGATTTTCTTTGAACTCCACAAAAAAGGGTAAACTTTTAGATACACTACATATTTGAAAAATTTATCGAGTTTTTTTATAATGTCTTTCATTTCTAATGTACTTGTAATCACATATATTAAGATTAATATTAGTAGAAACTAAGTTTTCTTTATCCCTTTATAGTTCAATGCTAGTTAGTAGTTATTTAGTAAGCCAAATTCCGTATTTCAGATGTTATCAGGTGTAAGCCAGCGTACTAAGATTTTTTTGTTTTTCTCAACTATTTTCTTTGAACGGGCTCCCTAAGAAAGTGTGCCATGAGTAAATCAACAAAGTTGTGTTTGTATTGACTGCTCAAAATAACGAAGTGTCTAGATTTTTGATAACCAACTGCCGTGCTGGCGATGCCTCTGCCTGACCACGCGCTGCTGATTATCGGCGGACGTTGAAGCGAGTGCTGTCATAAGTATATATATAAATATATACATACATTGATGTACATATATACATATGTATGTACATATAGTATATGCTGCGTCTGGGTCTGCCAAAGTAGTGGCATCAATTAAAAGTAACTGTGTATCATTGCGAGCGGCAGTGAAGCATGAACTTCATATACGAGTACAATACCCTACGCGTTGCGCCACATCGATTATGCTGGTGGCTTTGCTATATGTAAGGGCAGCGAACGCCGCTCTTCTTCGTCACGCGCTTTTCCACCCAATTGCCCAGCGTTATGACTGCCAATTGAGCTTAATTGAGGCAATGTTGACCTCACCCTAATGTGGCGCAATTTAAAAAAAGAACAATAGAAGGCACCTACCATGCATATGCCGTGTGCATCGAATGGGTTCCAGGCAACATTTTCGGGATAATGCGCCAGCGGTTTGCTCTTATAGGCGCGATCCAAAGGAGAGCAGTGCAGATTGTCACCTGAAAGGGCAAAACAGAATTAATTAGAGAGCGTGATGAACGTTAAATATGTTTCAGTTCGACTTTGGAATGCCCTGTACCCAACCTACATCAAGTCAACTCAAATAAACTTTCTTGTAAATCTACAAACCAAGTTTTTTGTCTATAACTGATATGGTTACAAAGGTTTTTAGAGAGACAAGCGGACAAAATCATGTGCATCATCTGCTGTATCTCTAACACTATTTCTGACAGTATACACTTTCACCCTTCGGGTACAGGGTATGATTAGTAGAATAGTTTGGTGGTGCGTCCCAGTGCTTACCCGCAAAGCGATCTGGTTCTAGGCCCGTATCCAAATCTAAACCGCAAATGACAAAATAGTCGGCGAAACGTGAGAACTGCGGATCGGCATCGCGCTTTAATTGATTCAGCTCCGAAATTTCTCCAGGTGATGTGGGCGATTGCACCATTGTGATGGATGCCGACGATGCCGCCGCTGCTGTCGCCGTCGCTGCTGATGTGGCTGTGGTTGCTGCTGAGGTGTTGTTGGTGTTGGCATTGTTTAGCATTAATTTAGACAAACGGCTCGCAACAACATTTTCACGCGTCGTCATAATTCCGCGCTACTCGTCCCTGTGTGTACAACTGTGTGTGTGTGAGTGAGATTGTCTTCAAAACAGTTTGGTCGCTGTTGTTGCTTCCCCAATCAGCAAAGCCAAGGCGCCAACGTTGGCTGCTATTGTTGTTGCTGCTCCAAATTGTACATCAAACAAACGCGTCCATGTGTATGTGCATATACACACAGATGCATGTGTATATATGTATGTATGTATGCGTGTATATTACCGTTGTGCGTTCACAATTTTTGCACTTTCCAATTTAAGCAACAACAACAACGACGACGGCCCTTTCGCGCAATATTTTCTGCAAAAGCACAAATCATTAAACAATATTTAAATTATGCATATATATCTAGTGCATTTACTATACTATCTCTTTTATTCCAACTTTTCTATGCCAATGGCACAAATGTCTGCGTTTTACCCCCCACCACCTCTTCATCGACTTCTAACACATCAACGTCTTCGATACGAAACAATGAGACGCGTTTGTTGTTGTTTTTCAAGGCTGCTACTGCTTTCCCACTACACGTAAACACTATAATTTTGTCAAACACTGCGATTTTGGTTTTTATTCATTTATTTTAAAGCAGGTGTGCACGTTTTAAATGCTTTGTTTTTGCTCAAATAGTGCGAAAATCGTCCCCAACTCACTTTCATCAGTTTGAACGCTGCGCTGGCGATGGCAAAGTCAGACCAAACCATCTATCGATAGCTGCCATTTGTACCGATATGTACGGATGCGCTCAGCAGACAAATGAATATTTGGAACTAGTTCCAATCGCCGGCCCTTCGAAATGATATATACTTGTAGTACATACTAACTAGCTCTTTGGCTAAGCTCCGCTTACTGTAATGTCTTGAGTTACTTCAGTAAATTTATCTTATCAATAAGATAATTATGCCAATTTGGAAAGAAATTATGATCTACAGTTGACTAATAGCCCGTAAAAATTGTATATCCAAAGCTCTGTGAGGGGCTGTGACCATGGCTTTTCGCTTACAACAAATTTAACTGTTTTCTTTGAGTTTTGATTGTTAAGGTTATTTACTATAACATTCAAGAATCTAATTCACATTACATTTCAAAATTATGTAGGTTCTATGCAATATAATGGGCACAATGAATTAAAGTTTGCAAATGCTGGCCATTTTCGTAACTATCTAAACTATATTTAAGTACTTGTTATTTATTTGTTTATTTAATATTATTAATTTTGTATAAAAGTGCTCTTGTTGGCCACTGCGAGACAAAATGAGCAGAATAGTGTCCATCAACAACAGTTGACCAGTTGGCTGTCTGGAAGAGGGCTCGTGCTTGTCGTGTGCGCTCTGAGTTGTTTGATTCATTCACTCTGTGAATTTCATTGCGAGCGGACGTGTGCGGACTATCACAGTTAGGGGAAGTGGTGAAAGAAAGTTTTGTGAACAAAATAAACCACTAAAAGAGAAAAGTGCAGTGCTTTCATTGTATGTGCTTCTGTGTATGTGAGGGAGCGTAAGAGAGCGAGTGAGCATTAGCATTTCTGCGATTTCAATTAGATTCAATTGAGGCTAGCGAAAAAAAGCAAAAATAATAACATTGCCAAGATATTAAAGTGGGACATTGTGTGTGTGTGAAACACAAGGCACTTAAAAAAAAGAAAAAAAAAATACACATACATACATATAATATTGAAGTAACAAGATTTAAAAAAAAATCAACAACAAAAAATGTCGAATGTAGAATCTTCTAGTTCGGCGGTGCAACAGCCACCCTCATCCACATTGCCACTGTTGGGCGATAATCAGGTGACCATGCAAGCCTCCACCTCAACGGCTGTGGGTGTTCCATTGGACACGCAGAGCGGCGAGCCGCCTGCCAAGAAGCAATTACTAGATCCTAATGCGGCTTCCTCCTCCTCCGGCTCCATGTCGGGGGCGGGTGCCGGCAGCGGCGGCAGTAGCAGCTCCACGGGCACACACGAGAAACTGGAGTATCGCCTCGGTGGCATACTGTGCTGTGCGGTGTGCTTGGACTTGCCCAAATTGGCTATGTACCAGGTAAGTCGCGTCTATAGCGACACAATTTGCTTGTGATTTTTTTTCTTCGTTCGTTTGTTGCTGCTGGCTTTTGGGGAAGTGTGGCATGTTTTTTGTGCGAAATCTTATTTGAACAAAGAGGAAAAATGTTTATCTGTCGCGCATTTGTGCTCTCTTTGCTTGTATGCGTGTGTGAGTCTGTATGGCTGTGTGTGTGTCATTCTGTATACAAACAAATCGAGCAAACTCAGCTGTAACACCCATTGCGAAGGGGTGCCGGAGTAAAAGCATTGAGAGCCTTGTTCCCCAAACGCACAACAGCTGTGTCTTGTGCGAGAGAGATGGCGAGAGAGCGCAATAATGGTGGCCAAAGCAAATTAAAGAAAATGTAATTTACTCACTCATTTAACACATGTGTGCTTTTTACTATGCATTATGTATACATACATATCTACATGAAACTATTACTACAACGGTTATACGGCAGATCCGAAATGTCGCCTTCAAAAAACCACTTTGCCAGGGCTTTGGTCCCCTGCCGTTTGCTTTCCCCCTTTTCCATCTGCTGCGAATAAACATTGTCGACCAGCCAACTATATATAGTGTGCTCTCTTGCTCGCATTGACATTGGCTCATTGCATTTTCAGTTGCTGCTGCACTTTTATTGCGTCGTCGAGTCATCGTCACTAAGAGAACTTGCTAGTTATGCCCTTCACTGAAAAGTGTAAGGGTATATTGTTGTGCTGTGTATGTTTGTAACATCCAGAAGAAGAAATACTAGACCACATGTTTTAGGTACACATTCATGCATACATACATCTGTATGTCTTTACTTCTATGTATGCATGTATGTCTGTAAATATGTATGTATATGATCAGCACACCGAAACGAATCCAAGTCCGCCCATCAAAACAACATTAAAATATTGTTATAGGAAAGATTCTTTCTAATTAAAAATGGATAATAAGATCATAGTAGGGTGCAGACATAGTCCAACATCTATAACCATAGGTGAATAGTGTTTTTGTTTTAAACAGTGAAGGATATACATGTAAATACATACATAGATACATATACATACATACATATGTAGCTTCGGCGCAGACGAAAATAGCTTCTTAGCTGCAAGAAACATCAACCCTCTATATTAAATTCTATGTATTATTGCTATGGCATTTCATAATGCTCCTCTTGGCCATTACGTTTCTGTAAAATCTGAACTAAAACTACCCCTCCCCTCTACTAACTGCGCAGTTAGAATTTTCTTGATAAAGTCGTCGTTGCATAGTTTACGTTTTTCCGCTATTGCGTCACAATCGTATGAACAATTTGTTTTCTATTCTCTGCTATGGCAACAATAGCCATCCAAGCAATTTAAAGCAGCACGCAAAGATACAAATTGAAATGAAGGCATGCTTTCTATCTGTTGTTATTGTTATTGCTGTTTTGGTCGTGGCCTATTTTTAGCAGCGCTGTTATGCGACCTCGCCGTTGCCCCGCCCGCACCAAAAAAAAAAAAAAAAAAAAAAAAAAAAAAAAAATTAAAAGAGAAAACAACAACGCTGCGTTTGCTTTATTTTTTCACACACATTGGCCTTCTGACGTTTCCTCTTTCAGTCTGCTTTAAGCAAAGGTGTTTTTGTTGGTGTCTTTTTAAATTCATTCATAAGTTTCTGGGTATTTTGTGGATTTAATCGATGGACTTATTAATTTTTTTTTACATCTGTATATGTACACATATGTACATACATACATATGTACATTTTTACAAATGTATGTATGTATGTATGTGTATATGAATGCAACTCTTTTACGTAATATGTTCTTAACTAAAAGTGACTTTCATGCTTTTTATTACTATGTCTAACTTGCTCGCTCCGACCCTTCAAAATAGCCTTGCCATTTATTGTGCTCGTTTTTCTCTCTTTCATTCTCTCTCTCTCTCTATTGTACACACACACGTTATTGTGAAAATGTTAACTGCGTCATAGTTTTATTTGGCCCAGCTTTCATTTAATTCGCTGCAAACAACTATGCAAATCTTTCAAGTTTATACATAGGTATGTATGTATCATACATAAATAAACCAATGTACATACATATATGTATGTACATACATGGACATGGATAACTAAATTTGTGCAGCTTGTTGTTGACTCGTGCTCAAAGCCTAAGACTGTTGAAAAAATTAAGGCAACATTTACAGATTGTGTGGTATTTAAATTTCTATATGTATTTACATATGTATGTATGTATATACAAACGTATGTACATGTGTGTTCACGTATTGTTTATATGTATATACATACTAATGTCATGTATGTATGTATGTGTTTATATGTTTCGGCTCGCGTTTTGCGTCGTTCGCTCTCTGTTATTGTTTTGCTTTTGCTGCCTACTGTTACTGTGGTTGCCTGCTCCCCTGATCCGTCTTCCGTACCAACCTGTGACATCTCGCTCGCACCCACTAAACTGCCAAGTGCGAGTGTAGTCAGCTGTTCGTACTACGTATTATCGAAGCCTGACCAGTGAGTGGTGTGTCCTTTTTGAGTGTCGTAATTAATTGTCAACCAAGGGCAGCCGCAAAATATAAATTCAACTGTGTGTTTGTTAAGAATCTGTTCGTTGGCAGGTTGCTGTTCTTTCCCCCTTTTGGGGATTTTGTTATGTTGTTGAGTTGTAATCTAAGCTCAAACTCGTTTTACAGGTTCCACTTGTGTAAACGTGTGTGTGCGTATGTTTTTTTGTAGGTTTATTAGAGAATGTGTACCTGAAAAATTATGTTCAGTAGTAGCACGCATGTGTGATGTGTGTGTGTGTATGTCGATCGTTTATTTTTTACCTACACTTTGGTATTGGTTTGGTATTCTGCTTGTTCTTCCTCTGACTGGCAGCTTATCTACAAAAACATCATCAGCTGGGTTTGTTTTGTCTACCCGATGCGCGTGAGTGGCAAAGAAGAAGAAATGAAAAAAGAGAACGTGCGCGTCAGAGAAGTAAACAATGCAATGAAGATATGAAGAACATTTTGTTTTTATTGCCAATGCGAAAGGCTACGATTTGTATAAAGTAATTTTCATCTTAGTTGCAGTTATAAGTTCACTTCTCTCATTTTCTCTCCTCTCGTTTTCTATTCTTCTGCCTGCTTACTGGCTAGAACTTATTTTAGGCTAAGCTAGAATGTGGCACTTTATAGGGTTCATTGAACTATAAGGCAAGTTCGGGCAACAAATGCCGAACTTAAATGGGGTGTGTATATGTGTGTGTATTCACTGGGGCAACAATTTCCAGATATAGATACACACATATAGATGGAACGTTGAATGCACACACGCACAGACGGACTAAAAGCTGACAGAACAAAACTAAAGAATCGGATGCGTTCTCTTATCTTTGGGTATACTAGCACGATACATAAACACGCATACTTACATATATACAAAAATATGTACATATGTGTGTACATCGGCATATCGCACACATGCTCAGCTATTTACAGTAAATGGAAATTCAACGCCGCACATAAATAGAAATTCCAAAAAAAATCCGGAGCCAGAGCCCGCAGTCTATTCAGAGGCGGCTTCTATTTTATCACGCATCGCCAGCGACGATGTATGCACATTTCCATAATTAACAGCAACAAGAAACACAACCGCCCGCACTTTTTGCCCAATGAGCTGCGCTTCCTTTATTGTCGGCCACGGACCGACAATCAGCATTCAGCAGGGTGCATTGACAAACTGCATTCGGCTGACTCATGAGCGAGCACGTCTCATGGCCATGGGCCTGACCTTTGACTACCATGCCTAATTTCCCAATATATTCGTGGCATTGTTGGCTAATCATCCACTTCCAACAGTGGCCAATTGTGTTATCTATCTGCCACATTGAAACGCTCTTATCGGTCCGCTTTTATACACATACGAGTATACAAACATACATACATATACTGCACTTCGAGCACTTTGCCAGTTAATCATGATTTCCATAAATTAACAAACAACACTAAAAAGAAAACTCTGCTATGGACACTCTATTTATAACAAAATTACTTTGAAATCATTTTGGAATTAATTGACAAAATTGAAATAAAACAAGAGTGATTTTATTTTATGATTTTGTTTTATTTTTTTTCTTAACCATACAGCTTCAATTCGTTGTAGCTTCTTATATAGTCTTTAACAATAATTAAAGATGAACTTTAACTGTCTATCTATCTCTCTGTCTTAATGATTAGTATTAATTAAGTCAACATTTAATTACATTGAAATTCTAAATAGCTAACTTTTGTAAGCACAAGTTTTGTAATTGTAACTGCTAAGTGTATTATAAAACCGAAACAAAAACAAAATACAACAAAACAAGGCAACATCCAGTAGCATTAAAGTGAAATGTATAACTATAAACCGATTCATCAAAACAATAAATTGCGCAACAAGTGCAAAATGAAAAATGCAAACCAAATACAACTAGCGTTTTTATTTCAAATGCAAGGAACGAACCAAATATAAAAAAATCAAAATCCATCCAATACATATGTATGTACATCGCTAAGGCTTTCCATTTCAGACAACCACAGTAAATCCCAACTATCCACACATTCCAACCCATTCCAAAAATATTGCCCCTCCCTCCATCACTATCCTCACCATCAACAGCACCACCAATTTCTTCAACTTCCAAAGCGCATTTGACTAATAGCAAATTTTCTTCTTTTTTCTTTAATTGCAGGTTAATTTTTATTCCACTTTTTTGATTTAGTTCTTATCGATTCTCATCCCCCCATAATGCTTAAACCATAATCCACTAAAACTCTACTGTTCTACCCTCTGCTCTCTATACTTTCAGTGCCAAATGGGCCATCTGATGTGCGCTGCCTGCTTCACACACCTGCTGGCGGACGGACGGTATGAAACAGAAACGCCAAAATTAAACAGCTTGAAAAATTATTTACTGTGATTTGAACAAAACAAACAATTGGAACCACATATGGTCCTGCAAATTAAACTTATTTTACACCCTCCCCTCTCTCTTCTCTATTGTTTTATTTTCAGTTTGCGCGATCAGATCGCCACATGCCCCAATTGTCGCGTTGAAATCTCAAAAAGCACCGCCTCCCGTAATCTGGCGGTTGAGAAAGCTGCATCCGAACTTCCCAGTGAATGCCAGGTAAGAATACTATAATTATTTGAAATTAAACGCCATTCAAACGACTGTTTCCATTTAGTACTGCAACAAGGAGTTCCCCTACAAATCGTTGGATCGACATGAGCAGCACGAGTGCCAGGAACGTCCAACCAAATGCAAATATTTCCGCATTGGTTGCCAGTGGCGTGGTCCATTCCATGAGAGTAAGTGGCTGAAAGAACCCATTAAGAATAATTACTTGATTTTGGTTAAGTTTGAGAAGTGCATAGCAGGGCGGAAATACCAATAGGGGTTTCTTTTTTTTTTTAATTGTTATGCAGCTTATGCAGTTACTATTATTATAGATAACTGATCCTAATCCTAAAGTAGGTTTTACTTTTTAATTTATTAATTAAATTTATTCGAAACGTGTTAAAGTCGCGTAGCAAATAAAACTCGTAATTTAAAAGCTTCAAATTGTCTTTTAAATAAGAACAATTTTATTATTTAATACAATAATTTGTAATAAGTTTACAATGATGAAAACTTCATTTGCTAAAATGTCAGTTAGGTTATACTTTTTCATAAGGTAGATAGTAATAGAAATATATTCAACCTGTTAGAAAATTTACAAAAAAAGTTCTCTGTTATAACTTTGTTTGAATATTTTTTCGTCTTTTAAAAGATGTTTGTGTTTATATGGAATTATAACTTCTATTGTCTACATCTATGGATGATCTTGCAAAATTTCCAACAAAATATAGTAAAGCGAGACGCTTCAATCATTTCCAATTCCTTCCAGCTACCGAACATGAACGGAATTGTCTACACCCTCAAAAGTCTGGCTATGAGGTGATGGCGGCTCTTGAGGCCCACGATGCCAAGATCAAGGAGGAGAAGAAAATGTTCTGCACACTTATTGATCTGCTAAGCTACGAAAAAATAATATTCAATGGTGAGTTCTCATATATATTCATTACAATTCATGATAGTTATATATTGATAATGCATCTTTTGACCGCAGATCTACAGATGAAACCCTATCGCACCGACGAATATGTCCACAAGCTGTTCTACGAGACAGCACGCTTCTCGGCCTTTAACCAGCAGTGGGTTGTGAAGGCACGCATCAATAACAGCCAACGTGATCCGCACCAGTCGAATGAGCGCACTATTACGTATCAGTTGATATTGAAAACCAAAACCAGTACGCCCATGAGCATACACTTCTTTGCGCTGAAAGGCCCGTTCTCGGACATGAAGGTTTCGACACAGATTTACAAACACGATTTCACCGAAACCAGCACGGAGAGCGATTACTATTTGCTGCCATTGCCGGATAGCTCAGCAAACTGCAGCTCAGAGTGCAATAGACTACTTTCTAATAAGGGTATCAACTTTCGGTACGTAAATACATAGTGGTCCTATTCATAATACCCTGAGCCAATGCATGAAAAGAGAGATTTTTGAGTGATAAAAGATGTTTTCATAGCCGGAAAGATCTTTTAGCTAGAAAGCATAGAAAAACATTTCTAAAATCTTACCAGTTCATGTTATAAAATGAAGCTCATCAAATTAGCGTTATAAATTTAATAATCGAAGGTCTAGCAACTTTTAAACATAACTGAATTAATGTTATTAAAGGCTTTTTTAGAAAGGCTTTGTCTGAACGTGTTCAAAAATGACCGAAAGAGAATAATTGCTTTGCTTAGCTTAAGTTTTTTTTAAATCAGAATTAATTAATTAATATCAGAACCCGAATAGGTTGATACACTAAATCTTTCATTTTGAGTACAGGGTATTACAATTTTTCTTTAAAGCCGGACCTAATTTTTACCTTATCTCTTTTCAGCTTACTTATGTTTCTGCTGAACAAGTAAACGGTCTACAGGCGGCGGAGAGCGTAAAATAAACGTAGTACACATTTTAAAAGGAACCTAGCTTAAGTTTGTTGTTTTTCTATCTCTTTAATGTTCACAATGTGCAAAATCTACACTTAGATCTTTATACATACATATATATACATATATATATATATATATATATATATATATATATATATATATATATATATATATATATATATATATATATATATTATATAAATTTAAATGAAAAAAATAATGTGTGCTTTGATAGGCCCAACCTAAATGCGACCCTACCCCAGACCCATATTTTTGCAATCACAATTATTGTAACGCGGTAGGTTGTAACCCTAAGTTTAGACGACGATTAGCTTAAGAAAAACACACACACACAGCTTTTAATGTTACGGACTAGGCATACAAATAATTTAACTCAACTTCAGTTGAGAAGACTTGGACAAAATTGCTTTATTAACATAAACTCACCTTTCCTTCAATTCTCTGAATGAAATATCAAGTCCAGATACTACTATTTGTGTAATATTTCCCTAACACATAACTGCGAGTACTGCGAGCTATGTATGTACATAGCTCTATATGTACAATAAAAAAACACAACTATAATATGCCATGAGAAAGAAAAACGTAAACGTAAACATAATTATAAACATTTTCAAGATTAGAAACGTTATTTAAGCTGTAAGTGCAATTGGAGAAATCGAGTTAATATCGCTAACAGATAGTGTTTGACTAACAATTAAAAATGATCTCACGAGCAAAAACGATTTTTAACCCACACACGCACACAACATGAAACCATCCTTATAATAGAATTCGGAAATTGTAGACAATGAAATTCTGTGGAATTCTGGACTCTGTGCCGATCGTTCACTGTAAGAGAAAGCAACACCAATTCTTAAGTAGCGCTATCTTTTAATAGACGTTCAATAATAGCAACAAGCCAACAATTAATACAGCTCCTAATGTTTCTCCATTAGGTTTATATACGAATAAGCGAATTACCAGATGTTTATGTTTATACTTTAAAGCTTGTCCAATTGCTTTCTGTTAATACTAAAATACGACTACCCCCCGTACATTTTAATGCTTACAGTTTACATTCGTATGTGTAATATTTATACGCAGCGTTAAATGATTACAAATTACTAAATGTAAAAATATACGTGCATATATTAATGATATTTCTTAATAAAGAAACAAATCCACAATTATAAGCCAACACAATTAATTTCATTTGATTCATTTTAGTACATAATGAGTAAATCTGGAAATCATCCCGCTTTCAATACGAAATCAAAATCCGTACAAAAAACAAGAAAAGAATGCTAAAGTCGAGCAAGCTCAACTCTTAAATATCCTGTACCTCCCACAAAAAAGGAAAAAATGAAAAAAAAAATTTTAAGTAAATAAAAAAAGGATATTAATCAAATTATTTAATTAAATTAAAGACATGTTCATGTACAGTTTCAACAGCATACATTTACATCAGAATCGTGTCTCTGCGTGCTTATATGCGTGTATGTACATATGCAGCACAAAGTTGAACCCAAGCAGCAGCAACAACAATAGCTGCGGGCAGCGCTGCCGTCAGCGGTACAAGCAGAGCATGGGCAGCGATTTTATTTATGGCTATAACTTTCATCAGAATTGACCTAACATGATGAAACTTGGCATGCAGACACATAATCACTAACGGGATGTAGCTACCTAATTTTAGTTCGAAATTCCAAGAACTACGGGAGTTATGGAGAAAACACGAATTGCGCGGGAGTGGGGGGTGTATCAGAATAAAATAATAAACTTGACCTGCCTAGGGCTTATGTGAATCTGGATACCGAGTTTGGTTATTCTAGCTCTTGTACCTTCTGAGATCCTTGCGCTCATACAGACGGACGGACGGACATGGCTATATCGACTCGGCTTGTCCCCCTGATCAAGAATATATATACTTTGTGGAGTCTGCCACGCCTCCTTCTGTGTGTTACATACATTCGCACAAAACTAGTATAGCCTTTCACCCTTTGGCTATAAAAATATTGATCATGGTTTCTAAATTTTGCTAGCAGAACACTAGTGGAATTCGCGATCTAAGTTTTTCAGACTGTATGACAAAATTCGGAAACGGAAACATTGCCTACATGAGTTATTTTTTGTCCTTTGAACATCCATTTAAAGCTATCAGTAATTTTGCTTTGTTTTGCAAACAATAATATAGAAATTATTCCAATACAGAATCGAACATATTTGGAGAAAACAAGTAAAAAAGCTAAAGTCGGGTGTCCCGACTTTAAAATACTCTGTACATATGTTTACAATAATTATAGAAAATAAAAAAATTAAGAAAATAAAAAAAAAATTTGATCGATTTTACCTCTCTCGGTATTCGAACTCACGTAAAGGGTGTATAATTGCACATTTACATAGCAATTGCGTCTGTCTGAGTGTATGTATGCCTATGCGCATCTATTCGTGTCTGTGTAAGCATTTTCGCAGTCAACCAAACAGCAACATCAACAACAGCCGCGGGCAGCGCTTGAGCAGCGCTGCAGCAGCGCTGCATCAGCAAATATATTTATGGCTATAACTTCTTGTTAAATCGGTCAATCATAATGAAATTAGGCATACGGACACATAATAACTAACTGGGGGTATTTCCAAAATTTTAGTTCGAAATTCCAAGAATTACGGGAGTTACGATTTGCGGGGTAGAGGGGGGAGGGAGGGGAATTCCAAAATATACATTTTCTGCGTATTCACATAAGGCATCTGGGACTAAAATTTGGTGTTCCTAGGTCTTATAGTCTCCGAGATATAGGCGATTATACGAATGGAAAATCGGGAAAACCCCCATAGGGGGGAAGTGGGGGGGAAAATCAAAAAAATAAAACAAACTCGTATAGAATACACACATAACGCATCTTCGTGCAAAATTTGGTGTCTCTATCTCTTATAGTCTCTGAGATCCAGGTGTTCATACGGACGGACAGACGGACAGACAGACAGACAGGGCTAGATCGACTCGTCTCGTCATGCTGATCAAGAATATATATACTTTGTGGGGTCTGCCACGCCTCCTTCTGCCTGTTACATTTTTCAGCTCCCGCAAACCTAATATACTCTTGTACATTTCATGTACAGAGTATAAAAAGGAATATATAAATACGATTCCGAATATCTACATATATTTTCACAATCTTGAAATGATTCCGTCATATGATAAGTATATGGTATTCGAACAATCGTCTTAAATATTTCTAATGAAATGTCCTGTCGCACATGTACATTTTCTAAAGGCGTTGTACTTTATTTGTTACTCCGAGAAATTCTAAACTCCTTAGCGGTATCTGTTTTTATGTGTTTCTCTTTCAACTTTTTGGATTAGTCTCAACTGTTTTCAAGCGATAGGACGTCTTTTGTTACTTTCAATGCTTTGGGATTCCCTGAAAAGAAATATTTGCGTAACGAAAGCAATTTCAAACTGCTTAGCCGTATCACTTATTTTGCACCTGCTTTTCCAACTTTTACAAGTATATACGAGTATACCTTTCTTTTAAGAAAATGAGGCTTTGGAATCTGATATTCAGCTGAAAGAAATAAAAGTTCCCTAAATAGACATTTTTCTTTTGCTAGGAGATAAAAGCACACTAGAATCTCTAGAATATATGGTGGGAATAAATCCATAGGATCGACTGTGCCCCAAACCAAAACAGTGTCGATCCAATTCGGAATCACTTTAACGATTTTGAGAAATCTGCCATGTCTAATTCGAAATAAAACGCTTGTTTATAATTAACATTCGTGAATGAAAAATATTTATACATATTCATCAATATGTTATGTTACTTAATACGAATAAATGTCTTATATTAAAACTTAAGGTGGTTCGGCTCTTCCTATCAGTCGAGTGTAATGAAACAAAATTTGTGCCTGCTACTCGTCTTCCTCATCCATCTGATTGTACTTGTTGCGTACGTGGGCTGCAATCACCTCACGTGGATTGTTTCGGAAATTTTTGTCCTTGATCAGTTTTTCAAATGAGTTCACGCGGTTCACCAGTTGAGTGCGTTTTTTCTTTATTTTCTGTTTCGCACTCAATACTGGCTCCTGCGACACCTGTTGCTCTTCCGGTGCGTTGCGCTTGCTCTTGACTAAGTCGTAGATGTCTTTCAAGGAGGGCAGGGCATCGCGCAACGGCTTTAGGTTGCCCACAACATCACCTCCGGTCTTCTCACGCTGCTTACGTGCCTGTTCCTCCTTGCGATCCTTTTTTAATTCGGCAAAACGATTCAGCAGTTTTTTATGTTTCAGCGCCGACTTTTCCTTCTTGGTGGCAGTGTTTCTAGGTGTGAGGGTACGATGCAGCAGTCTCTCATCTCGTGATGCCTTGTTAATCTGGGCCTGCACGTTCTGTGCCTTCTGTTTGACTGCTGCCACAGCGCTTTTAGCTTTTGCACGCACATTTTTCTTAACTTTTCCCATTTTCAATTTTCTGTGTGATGTTGTGAGCAAAACAAACGAACAGTGGCAGCGTGGGCGAGTGCGAATGGGTAGCACTTTTTGTTATCGCTTCTTATCGTTATCGTCGTCGCGTATCGGATTATAACAGCTGAGCGTCGGCGACGCGAAGTAAAATTTTATACACAAGTTGTTTACTGCATTTTAATTATTGTAAAATGGACTACGATTTTAAAATGAAAACTCAAATGGAGCGCACGAAAGTGGAGGATCTGTTCAACTACGAGGGCTGTAAAGTGGGGCGCGGCACCTACGGCCATGTATACAAAGCTAAATGGAAAGAGACGAGGTATTTTGGTTGTTCTTACCTTGCAAAATCATATAATTAGCTTTTTCGTACAATTTATTAGTGACGGGAAGGAATATGCCCTTAAACAAATTGACGGCACTGGTCTGTCAATGTCCGCTTGCCGTGAAATTGCGTTACTAAGAGAACTGAAGCACCAGAATGTTATAACGCTGATTCGGGTATTCCTGTCGCATAACGATCGGAAGGTGTTCCTGCTGATAGACTATGCCGAGCATGATTTGTGGCACATCATCAAGTTCCATCGCGCCGCCAAAGCTACAAAGAAGCAGGTTATTGTGCCCCGTGGCATGGTGAAGAGTTTGTTGTATCAGATTCTTGACGGTATTCATTATCTGCATAGCAATTGGGTGCTGCATCGCGATCTGAAGCCGGCTAACATTCTGGTGATGGGCGATGGAAATGAGCGAGGGCGTGTCAAGATTGCAGATATGGGATTTGCGCGTCTTTTTAATGCACCACTCAAGCCGCTGGCCGATTTGGACCCTGTGGTGGTGACATTCTGGTATCGTGCGCCGGAATTGCTGCTTGGTGCACGTCACTACACAAAGGCCATAGACATTTGGGCTATTGGCTGCATTTTTGCCGAGCTCTTGACTTCAGAGCCAATCTTTCACTGCCGCCAGGAGGACATTAAGACGAGCAATCCGTATCATCACGATCAGTTGGATCGAATTTTCAATGTGATGGGTTTTCCACAGGACAAGGACTGGGAAGATATTAAGAAAATGCCCGAGCACCACACGCTCACAAAGGACTTCAAACGTTCCACATACTCGGCCTGCTCGCTCGCCAAATATATGGAGCGTCACAAAATCAAGCCGGATAGCAAGGCATTCCATCTGCTACAAAAGTTGCTGCTTATGGATCCCAATAAGCGCATCACCTCCGAGCAGGCCATGCAGGATCAATACTTTCAGGAGGAACCGGTGCCAACGCAGGATGTCTTCGCCGGCTGCCCCATACCATATCCGAAGCGCGAGTTTCTCACAGACGACGATCAGGAGGACAAATCCGATAATAAGCGACAGCAACAGCAGCAGCAGCAGCAACAACAGCAGCAACAGCAACAACAACAGCAGCAGCAACAACAGCAACAACAACAGATGAATCAAACGAACATTAATCAGAATATCAACAATGAGCCAAATGCGAAGCGTGTCCGCTTGTCCGGCTCCATTAATCAGGGGGGAAATCAGCAGCAGGATTTCCATCATCAGCAACAGCAACAATCGCAACAAATGCTGTTCAATCAGCAACAAAATTTTCAGCAGCGCTTTAACTGATTAGACTGAGTTATGAAACGCATTTCCATTTTCATACAAAATATTGCTTGGTATTCTAAGTTGGTAACTAAATTATAAAAACAAAACTGATAACAATTGCTACAACCCCATTTCTAAACATATCCCTGTAAAGTGGTTAATACCAATCGCCAAAACGTTCGATGGCCCGGTTCCACTTCTTGAGCCGCTTTCGAATGCCATCATAAAGTTCGGGACGCGGAATAAACAGACGATCGACCACGCGATATTTCTTAATATCCTCCGCGTCCTTCCAGATGCCGTGATTAATGCCGGCCAAGTATGTGGCGCCCAAGATGCTTGACTCGGTGTTCTGGGCGCGCTCCACTTTTACGTTGCAGGCATCGGCCAGAAATTGGCAGACGAAATCATTGCGAGACACGCCACCATCTACCCTAAATGTAGAAAAGGCCTCTCTTTTAGCAAAAGAATCTTCTAAACGATTTCTTAACAACTTCCTCACCTGATCACTTGAAGCTTTGTGTCAGTCTCATTTTCGGCACTCTCGATGAGCTGCACCACACGGAAAACAATGCTCTCGAGGAGTGCGCGCACCAAATGGCCCTTTGTCGTAGATGGTGTCATGCCAATGAAACCCGTAGCCGCCTTGTAGTCATTCACAGGTGGGCCCAAGCCGCTGAACGCGGGCATGAAAAAAACATCATTCGTATCCGGCACTGACTCCGCTATCTCTGCCGTTTCGGCGGGTTCAGCAAACAATCCACAGGATTGGGCCCAGCTAATCACGGTTCCGCAGTCATGGGAGGCGCCTTCAATGCAATAAACCGTCCGGCATTTGTTCTTCTTCTGCTTCAGCTGCCAGGCCACTAGCGGGTACAAGCCCGTAATTGCGGCTTGGCAGTCTTTGCCGGTTACTACGTTTAAGAAAGCACCTAAATGCAAAGCCAATCCATCTAAATTATTCTGAGGGGAAAGACACTCGAACATACCTGTGCCCATTGTAACTTTACAATCGCCTTTGTTAAAGCATTGGGAGCCCCACATGGCCGCTGTCTGATCGCTTAAGGAGGCGGCAATGGGTATTTGGCTGTTGGCCCAATCCTTGCCAAAGGCTGCAGGATGGACATACCCAAAACTTTTGTAGCCATTGTCCACAACGCGCGGTAATATCTTTAGCTGAAATGGGCAGACGAGGTGATCATTAAAGCAACCAAACAACCATAGCAATCGTAGACTTACATCGATGCCAAACATTAGTGGAATGATTGAGGACCAGCTGAGTGTGAAGGGATCGTACAGACCAGTGGCCGTACTCGAGGTAATATCGGTTATGTGTTCCACATCTGGATTCAGACCATTGCCCGAACGAAGTTTATACAGAATCCACGAATCGAGCAGCTCAAGACGAGCCGTGCCCTCACGCAATGCCCCCTGCAGGCGCTTGTTATGCTCGATTTCGTGCAGGAGTCGAGGCGTAACCTGTCCATTCATCATCTTCAGCACGCTGCCGGCCAGCCAACGGGCATTGCGGGTTACCAAGAACAGGGCATAGGATACACCGTTCATGGTGCGCATTGTGCAGCTGGAATTCCAGCGATCGACCAGCTCGTCGGCTCGCACATCCTTCCAGGTGATGAAATTGTGATAATACTCCTTGGTACGATGATTCCAGGTGAGAAACGTGCAGCGCTGCGTCGAGATGGTCAGGCAAGTTATGTCCTCGGGCTTTAGCTTGGCATCTATAAATATTTATGAATATACATACATATGTATGTAGTTCTTAAATGATTATCGCCATCTATTATTGTCGACCACCTACCGTGTATCGCCGCTGTTATCACCTTCACTATCTTGGCCCATAAGGCTTCGGGTTCAATTTCAAAGTAGCCCGGTTTCGGATTTAGCAACTCAACCTGCCAATTGTAGAAGCACACGCCCACTTCAGCTCAAGTGACTATTTAAAAAACATTTTCAATTAACTTACGGCCTCTACCGCCGACCCCTTAATGGAGCAGTTCTCGTCTTGCACAAAGCACCTTACGGAAGTCGTTCCCACATCTAGAGCTGCTATGTGTGCCGACATGTTGCTCGCCGCACGCTCTGTTTCTCACTGTTGCTTATATGGTTTGGCCCTCGATCGTTTGTTAATTGAGATTCTCATTCGCACAGCTGCCATAGCTTTGTTGTTATGCTCGTCGGATTTGTTGTGGTTGTGGTCGTTATCAATTTGCTCGCTTTTAACCAGTTAATGACGCCATGCCAGTGCTGCCTATTGAACCCATCACTGATGGGTAGCACTGTTAACATTTATTGAATTTCAGTTTAAAATCAATGAACCGGAATCACTAAATGTTCAAAAAAACAGCAAACATTGTTTCGCTTTTTTTTCTCACCTTATCAGTTGTGGTGTCGATAAGATTTATAGGTGCTACATGTGTTGCATTATCAGTAGGGGCGCAAAATACAATTTGATGACCTGACTAATCAGGGTTTGCTTTATAGCTTTATTAGTCATATAGACACTCAAGTTACATATATTGGGTTTGGGTCTACAAATACAATACATATCGTGCAGATACATATATATGTACATATATATATTAATATTGATACATATATAAATATGCATACAGAGATAAAGACTTATCTAAAATAGTCAACATACATTCATGCTAACAATTTGTAGAATTCATATTACAATTAACGCACTTTTACACAGTTTTGTCCTTCAGATAAGCTAGTTAAGCTTTTGCTATAGATTTGAATATCTAATTTACATACATACATACATATATACTGATGCCTGTAGGTACTGGTTTCTAATAGGTACAAAGTGGCGATATGTTCAAGTTGCTGAGTTCACATATCGATGGGTAGTATGTCTGGAATCAGATATTGACAGAGCTCCACTTCGTTGCTAACGAACTTCACTTTCTTGGCTGTGTTATCATCCAATAGGATGCGAATGGCCGGCCAAATAGTGGAGAATATGCCAGGCGCATTTATGATTAAACAGACGCCCAAACGCTCGGGATAGTGCTTGCCCAGCAGCCAGATAAGGTTCTGAACCAGCTGATAGTCCATGCAGGACGTACTGAACTCGGCCAGATCGAAGACAATGCACAAACGATCGGTCACTTCTTCAAAACATTTTTTGCAAGCCTCCTCCAGATTGTAAACGATGAAGCGCGTTAGCTCGTCGAGGTCGCGCTCCGATGAGCTGTGATTCTTGGCCGGAATATAGATGACTGGACGACCTACGCAGTCGCGATGCCGCAAAACCCGAGCCTTATTTTTTAACTTGCTTTGGTCCATCTCACTGAGTTTAGCTACGCCGTACGTCTCGCGCCATTTGTTTGTCTTCAGCAGGGCCTTTAATGGCAAATATTGTTTGAACATATGTATGTGTATTAGAATCTTTTCAATGTCAATGAGTGGGTGGTAAGTGGGCGAACGGTTGGTTCGGGGCGATACTAACTTGGAATGCGTCATCTGTTGTTTTGAAGGCGCGCAAATAGCGCCTCAAAGAGAATTCATTATGGTATTGGCTGGCATCCGCGTCCGCAATCAATTTCATACGTGCTTTTAGATCCTTCAAGTCTTCCTCATTAACGGGTGCTAAATCTTCCGCCGACATATTGTAACAGTTTTTTGTGTTGCTGTTTTTGCACTGTTAATCTCTATGATACTGTAAGAGGCGTCAGTATGCAAAAAAAAGCGCGTGCAGCTCGTTTCGCTTCGAACTCTGCTTTTTAACGCTCGTTATTTTTCTTCTTCGCACTTAAACAATTTTTCACAATTTTCACTTCCCAGCTGTGCTCGTTCTTCACTAACTCGATAGAATGTCTATCGAAGAGGTATATCAGTATCGAGTATTTTCGTGTATTTTGAACCAGCAGTCTGTGAAGCGCGCCAAAAGTTTAAAATTTTTTTAAATTGAGTATGCTCTAATACATATTAACATATTTTGTTACTTAAAAATCAATCATTTAGGTATTACAAATACCTAAACGCAGAAATTGAATACATTATATTATTTATCGGCTTCGGGTATTTTGAAACATCTGTCATTGTGGCGCGGAAATTAAAAAAAAAAACCCAAAAGAGAATTTAGTTAAAATTTTGGTTCAATACACCGTTTATATTCATATTTTGTTAAGTGTTTCTAATAATATTAATAATGTTAATAAAAAATGTTAACAATAATAAGTAGGCTTATTTACCTACAAAAATAATTAAATTACACTGTCATCGTCATTTCTAAGTACCAACAACAATTTGTTTAACGATTTCCAGTTGATAAACAACCGGAGAAATGCAGAGATTTCCTATAAGAGATTATTATTGCTCGAATGTTTCTTTGTAGTTTGAGGATCCTCCCAACTGTGAGATTCAAACTTATTTAGCTCGTTTCTGATTGATTCATTTTGGAATTGTGACGCGTGCAATGCCTGGCAGCACCTCTGCCTGTAGCGGTCCAAATTCGACAAGTTCTCCATCCACGGTGATGATACCGTGATCGTCGTAGGGCTCTAGACGGAAGGCGCGCACGGGCAGTACCTTAACAAACTCGCCATTCTTTTCCGGCAAATGGGTGCCGGAGCTCATGTTGATGAGGAAGTTCAGCAGTTGTGGGCGACTGATGCCGGTGCGGATTATGATTAGATAGATGGTGCCATCGTTGAGCTGCGCCTTGGGTACGAAATGGCAATCAGTGCCCAAATGTGTCTGGTAGGCGGCATGCATCATAACAAACTGCCCCTCCTCCACACACCATCCTTCGTCCAGAGGTAATGGTTCCTCCAGCTTTGGTATGTTGGAAGCAGGTCCATAGGCTTGACGCGGATTGTCGGACGACGCTGCGATACAGTCGCTTTCGTCCGCCAAACTGTGATATACGCTCTCCGAGATGGAGTAGTAGAAGCTACGACGCGACCCATTTGACAGCCAGCTATCACAGCGCGAACGGAAAGAGTGGTTTATGGAAGTCTCTAACGAGATGACATCTTCGAATTCTTGCGGCAGAAACTCCGCCGACTGATGGAAGCCTTGATTGGAGGACAGTTTATCAATATGCATGGTGCAGCTGCGACTGAGCTGCGCCTTCAAGGGCTGCAGGAGATTGTCCTGCGGTGGCTGGTGCTCCTTAATAGGTAGATAGCTGATCTTGCCATTATAGGTACGCAGACTGACCAAACGATGCAGCGTCCACAGAGTAAAGCGCTGATAGCCCAAAATGCGGAGACGCTCGCTCTCGATGTCAATATCCGAGATGAGACCCCAGCCAATGGACAGGAACGAGTAAATAGTGCGATCGGGCAGGTCAACGCGCACAACATCCATGGCAGTCGTCTGGCCGCTGATTATCGTCAGCACTGAGCCCAAAATTGGTTTACTGCTATAAGGTTCGCTGTAATTGATATCGAAAATAAATCTTTTCGTGCTTTGTAGGTGGTAAGTGCACTCACTTGTAGGTATGGGCAATGGATTTTGCCAAACCGTTGCCCGAACCACAGGGCACAATACCTAAAGCTGTGGTTCGCAATATCTGCGCCCAGTCCTCGCGTTGCAGCAGCCCATTTAGGATCTCGTGGAACAGACCATCGCCTCCAACGGCCACCACACAGCACCAGACATTCAAAGGACGCGTGCGAACAAACTCACTGGCATAATTGGAATGCTTTGTTACGTAAAGATCGTAGGGAACTTCGGCCTCATTGAAGACAGGGCAGACGTGCATGTTAAACATCTCACGCGCCTTGCCTGAACCTGACTTGGGATTAAGAAGTACGAGGACACGTCGACGTCGCTCATCCTGAATGCGCGTTACAAAGATCTCCTCCAATGTATGATGGAGTTGCCATCGCAAGGCGCGATACCAACGCTCGGCCTCACGCATATTGTCGTCGAAGGTGTCGAAGCTGCGAAAGCGCAGGCGCAGTACCGTTCTCTCCCGATGAAGCGTACTGCGCAAGCTCTTCTTCTTCAACACGTAGGCGAACACGTAGAGGTAAGCGCTGACATCGCCATCGTAGTAGTCTGCCGTCGCCCCCCCACGATGATATTCTTCTCTGCTGGCAGCGCTGCATTTGCTGGGCGTGTCGCCAGTCGCTCCAGAGTGCACGCGTGCGGATGCCGCAGGGGAAGAACTCGAATTACCGCTGCTGCAGGCGCATGCATTGGCCAAACTACGACGACTCTGTTTGAGGCGCATGCATCGTCCGCCCACAATGTCGCATATTTTGACAACCTGCTCCTTTGTGCCGCTCGGCGATTCACGCTGCAATGTGAAGCCATCGCCGTTAAGACGCACTCTAAAGCAATACAGTGTATTTAAGCAACAAAGGAAATGAAGACAATGGTTTTAAAGCTTACCGAAAGACATGGCCCTTCTGCTGATTGGTGTAGAAGGTGTCGCTGAGTTCGTATTGCGTCGCGGCAATGGGAGTGGAGCAGGCAGAAGCCGGTTTCTCATGATCTTTGTTCATAATTACTTACTGAAGTAATTAACATTGTTATTTTTAACTTCTTTGAAGCGCAGAAACTTAAGCTCGAGTGTGGCCAATCATTATTGTTTTAGCAGAGCAGAACAAAATAGCAAAGAAATACTCACTTCGCACTACTACTCATCAGTGCTGCCAGTTTTTAGTGGCAGAAAGGTCTAGATTAGCAGATTCAAAACGGGCAAACAAAACAAACTATACAGGCCCCGTTCACAAGCTGAAATTTGATTTACAGTTTGTAATTAAGTTTCCCCGTTATCCATTTAGACGAAAGCGCAATTTGGCCAGATTGATAAATCTAATACTACATACACAGCTTGTTATAAAACTTTTCTTTTCTGTTCTATTGTTATTCGCTATATTCCATTGCTCATCTTCAAAACGAAATAAAGGCACAAAAAAATAAACATAAAAAAAATATTTTAACCTGCTGAGAAACAGTTCAAGTGCATATTTGTTGGTCTTGTAAACCGCAAATTTTGAACTTTTTTGAAGCAGTCGGCATTTGCAATACTCGAGAGCTGACGGGAAAATGGCTAACTTGTCAACACTCGTACTCACTACTCGTTATTTACAATTGCCAGTGGTACCCATAAGTATTTTTGGTTGGCATCTCAGCTGGCTTGAAGTCTCGATGAACGAGAGAAATTTACACTCAGATATCGATAAAGTGCACGCGGTAGTAGAGTGGAGTAGCGTAAATTAATTTATTTTTATACACTTACAACAGCCTTGTTAGAAAGGTGAACATTTATGTTATATCAAAATTGAACGTTCGTGCATTGAGTGTTTGGGACGACGCCATGACTAACAGCTTTGAGATCGTGTTGGAGGGTTTACTGCTCAAGGTCGCGCGGCATAATGTTGAACGCGCTGGCTTTTCTTATTTCACTGTTCGCCGCCAAATAACTGAAGAGAATGGTGTGGAACGCAGCGGGTCGGATGAAAAGCTGACGGGGGCGGGCGAGGAAGTGGACATAGGCTACCTCAAGTCACTAGATCCCAAGGAGTGGAAGGATCAGGATCATTACAGCGTGCTTGGTTTGGGCAAATTAAGGTGAGTGCGTAGTTAATGCGTGTTTGTGTGGGTATGTGTGTGTGTTTGTGTGTGTGGGAAGCACGTGCATAATATTAATTGGTTTTGCAGATTTGAAGCCAGTGACGATGATATACGACGAGCCTACAGGCGCATGGTGCTGCAGCATCATCCAGACAAGAGAAAAGCGAAGGGAGAGGAGGTAGTTCAAGACGACGACTACTTCACATGCATTACAAAGGCGTACGAAATATTGGGTACATCGAAGACGCGACGTTCCTACGATAGCGTAGATCCGAAATTTGATGATGCCTTCCCCACACAAGCGGACATTGATTCCAATTACTTTGAAGTCTTTAATAAATATTTTAATTTGAATGCGCGCTGGAGTGAAAAGCCGCATGTGCCGCCATTCGGCGATGTGGACGCCAAGCGTGAGGAGGTTGAACGTTTCTATAACTTTTGGTACGAGTTTAAATCTTGGCGCGAGTTTAGTTACCTGGACGAGGAGGATAAGGAGAAGGGTCAGGATCGGGATGAGCGACGCTGGATTGAGAAAGAGAACAAAGCAGCGCGCATTAAACGAAAAAAAGAGGAAATGGCGCGCATTCGTACGCTCGTCGACTTGGCCTACAACAATGATAAGCGCATACTAAAGTTCAAGCAGGAGGAGAAGGATCGTAAGGCGGCGGCCAAACGTGCAAAAATGGATGCGGCTCAGGCGCAAAAAGCAGAACAAGAGCGTGCCGTACGTGAAGCGGCGCTAGCCAAGGAGCGTGCCGAGAAGGCCGAACAGAAGCGCATTGAGCAGATTCGCATCGAAAGGGAGCAGCAGAAGAAAGTGCTAAAGAAGGAGCGGAAGACGCTGCGCGACAAGGTAAAAGATTGCAAATATTATGCCAAAAACGACAAGGATCAGCTAAAGCACATGGAGGGCACAGAAAAGATCTGCGAGACATTCAGCTTGGGCGAACTGCAAGAGTTAAATAAAGCGATGGAGTCAAAGGGTCGGGAAGCGTTCATGGCTGCGCTTCAAAGGGCTGAGCAGAAAATTGCCGCCGAACTGGAGGAGCTGAATCAAGCACAGCAAAAGAAGCTCGCAACGGCCCCCAAGTCAGATGTAAAGGAGGTGAAGAAGAGCGAGCTGTGGAGCAACGAAAACGTCCAGCTGTTGATCAAAGCAGTCAATCTATTTCCAGCTGGCACTGTCCAACGGTGGGATGTCATAGCGACGTTCATTAATCAGCACTGCAGCAGCGCCAGTCCTGGTCTGGTCACAGCTCGTGACGTACTCAACAAGGCCAAGGCTCTGCAGAACAGCGACCACTCAAAGAGCACTATGAAAGCGCATGCCAATGAGGCTGCCTTCGAGAGTTTCGAGAAGTCCAAGAAAGAAGTCCAAACAACGAATGATATTACAATTGGCGAGACCCCGTCCGACAGCAAAGAGAATATTAAGCAGAATGGTGGCGATCATGTCGACAATCAGGCGCCGACAGCAGTGGCTACGCAGGCCAAGCAAAATGGTATTGTGTCAAATGGCGTGACACCAGCACCGACGGCCGCCTCGAAGACAACCTGGACAAAGGAGGAGCAGGCGTTGCTTGAGCAGGCTATTAAGACGTATCCGACCACAACACCCGATCGCTGGGATTGTATTGCCGCCTGCATACCGAACCGCACCAAAAAGGACTGTCTGCGTCGAGTCAAGGAACTTGTCGAATTGGTTAACTCAAAGAAGGAGGCGCAATCGGCTGTTAAATGAGTCACAGATAAAGGAGGAGGTAACTACCCTCAGCCTCTGCCTCTGCCCCCCGCTAAACACCCAGAATATCAAGTGCTTAAACTAATTACCTATCTCCTCCAATGTAGCTGCTGTGTCCAATTCACGTTTTATTTAAATAAACATAAACAGTTTTTGAACGTTTAGCGAAAAGTTACATCAAAAGCTTTTTCCATATAAACAACAGATATTGACGATATACATGTATGGTGTAAATTAATGTGTATATATATGTATTTGATTGCGCCCTACAGATTACAGGTAAAATCTTAGAAACTTGAGGTTCGGTTTCAAAGAGAAGTACTTCCAAAATTATTGAAAATAACTGATGAGAAATAATTTCAATCAAAAACGCTCGACAGAGAAATACTCGAATTTCAGTTAAATTTCCAGGTTCCCTAAATGCTTAAAGAAGCAATTTTCTTAAAATTCTCAGATTTTTTTTCTCTTTACTTTCTGATTCAAGTTTAATATTTAAGAATTCAATTGGCCTACAGAAATGGCCAAATCTTTGACATCTCAACTTAAAATAAAAATAAAAGCATTAAGTGTACCAGAAACTGTCCATTCGATTTGAAAGATGAAAAAACATTTTCGGGATTAGAGTCTTCATTTCAAAAAGCTTAACTGCTTAAAGATTAAACGCTGTCGTTTAATACTCAGTCACAAAATACATGGCCAATTCTTAAGGATATTCTGCAGAATCTATATACATCTCTTTATTCATTAATTCCTTTGGTTAATATTTAAGCATTTAATCAGAATTTCGTGAAGACCCGAATGGTTGTTGCCAAAAATTCATATTTGTTTAAAAGTTGAAGAATTGGCATCGAACTAATAGCTTCTAAGTTAAGCTAGTTCTAGAACCACCTCTTAAGAATTATAGAAGTTGGTCATTCGCCAAGAAGTAGATGTTTAAAAACAGCTGCTAAACAAAATATTTGATTAAAATCGAATCAAAGTTTCTAAAATATTACGACTCTCTCAGTAAAATTCGGGCTCGATTTGACATTTAGAAAATATTTCTTCACATTTAGAATTAATACAAATTTCGCACCACACCACAAGTTTAGAATATATTACAATATTATAAGTAAAGGGCAATTTTTGAACCACATATAAAATGGTAATATGTCAGGAGCATGTGGATCGAATTCAACTTAAAAAGCGCTGCCTGATTATTATTCAGTAAGGATTAAAATACAAAGCTGAGTTGGCTGTTACTCAGTTCGTTGAAGGGGCTTTACAATTTAGGAGTGTAAGAATAAATTGACATCAAGCATTACTTTGAGAACGTAGATCGAAGATGCCTACGTTGTGGCTCTATTGAGCGAAAGGACATAGGGAAATGGAGAAAAAATTGGTTCTCTTAAATGCGAATTTTTAAGAATGAAATGAAACCCATAGTTCCTAAATATATTACAATATTTTTTGCATCCAATTTTGCAGAATTTTATAATTCCGGCAAGAAATCGTGCTTGTATGGGCTTGGAATGAAACTGGTTTTATGTCTGTTCGGCCACGCTGCGTCCGCCGCTCATCTTTAAATCGAAAGCCTGTGGATTGGCCAACGGATCGAGATCAGCAAATAGTTCTAGCCATGGGTTGTTGCTGCTGGTTGGCTGGCACTTTGATTGGTTGCTGTTGCTGGGCTTTGTGGGGGCAACGGTAGCGGCAGCTTCCGGTTGCTGTGTGTTGCTGGTCGGAATTGGTGGTAGCTGTTGCTGTAAAGGCTGTGATCCTGGGCTGAACATGCGTGCCCAGAAGTTGCTGTTGCTGTTGGCGCCGTCAGCCAAAGGTTCCTCATCGAGCAACGGCGCATCGATGAGCGTGTTGTCCTCTAATTGTTTGGACAACTCAATGAGCAAGGATTCGTTGTCGCCCAAGGTGGGGGCAGCGGCAACTGGAACAGGCGCTGCAGCAGGCGCTTCATCCGTGGAGGGATCGGGCTTATCCTGAAACTCATCCTGAAAGTGCAGAGATGGCTTAGAAGAGTGTAAGCGTTTAACTTTAGGGCTTGTACTTACCGCGAAGAATAAGCATTGATCCTTGTCGATGGTCTCAATTGGCGCTGTGTCCTCTGTGGCGGGCTCCTCGTTCTGTGACAGCTCCTTTAGTACACAGAAATCGTATTTGGGTTTGACAACCAACGAGTTAGAGATGGTTTGAAACGTGGACGCAGCCTTTTGGGCGAAGGTGTTCAGCTCATTTATGTAGGCAACGAGGGCGTGCGAATACATGTTGCAGCGTGCTGCGGCCAACAAATCGATCTTCTGTATGGAGTCCAAGGAGTAGCTGTCGAAATTCTGTTTGGCAGCGCGTACATGCGTCTGCGCGGTGCGAAACTTATCCAATCCCTTGCCCGTGTCTGGATCCAGCTCAGCACTGGCCGACTTCATCCAGGATAGGGCAGCACGGTACTCTGTGCGCTCCTTCTCCATGGCCTGCAGTGTGCCTTCGGTGTCCTTCACGGCCTGGCAGCGATAGACATCGACCTCATGCTGCAGTCGCAGGAGTGGCACGCGCACACACATGCGCTGCTGTCCTGCAAAGGACATGGCCTTGCCTACATTCGTGATGCTCTGACCTGTCGTTTTGCTCCGCTTGCCCGCCTCCTTAAGGAAGCGACCGAAAACACACTCCTCCTGCGACAATATGCATAGGCGCTCCTGGAACTGGTCGATGATTTTGCTTAACTCACTGCTGGTCTCCGCTATCGATTTGAACACCTCGATTTTGGCATCCAGCTCGGCATCGGATGATATGATGTGTTTGTCCTCTTTGCTGCCAAGTTTCCGCTGCACCACCTTCTTCGTAATCCAAAACTGATGCTGCACCTCTGATTTAAGCATATTTTCGTATTGTGTCAAAGTCTTGTTGCTGATAGCAGTGAAAAAATTGCTAATTTACTTTTGGTTTGAGTGCGCAAACGCGAAACTGAAACTTCAAGTCGGGTTGCAGTTGACAGCCATTATGACAGGGAAATTTGTAGGGGATATTTTTAACACCCAATGCTGCCCCATGTGCGCAAACAGCACAATGTTTACACTTCGTATGACAGCAGTAACGTGGGCATTTTGATTTCGACGATCTGGCAGCGCCTTGCCAACTGCACAGATAAAAGAGCAGCTGCTGCAGCAAAATCAACGGCTTCAGTCCATTTTCCAATTGGGAGGTGTGTGGTTGCTGCGCGCGGCTGTTCTGTTCCGAAAACAACGCTCTCGTTCAGTTCAACTATAGCTGCACCGGTTTTTGCGTGCATTTAATGGCCAGAATATATTACTACAAACATTTTGCAACAACAACAGCAACAGCAACAATTATAACACACATGAGTAAAAGTGCCCAGCTGTGAATTTTGTTACTATCTGGACAAATATTTGTGCAAGTGCGTGCGGTTCTGTGTGTGCCTGTGTGCGTGTGCAGTGTCTGTTTGTCTTAAGTTCAACTCCCGATGCCAACTGGAATTGCAATAGCAATTGAAAGCGACACACATTTGTGGCCATATACCCACCATTCGCCGCTAATTTGTCAGGTAAGAGATGCACTTTTTTTTGCTTTTCCATACAAGCCGAGGATGCTGCATGAAGAAAGTGAACAACAAGTACAACGGGTTGTGCAACAAACACAACAACAACTAGTATTTCATGTGTGCATTGCATGCGTGGGCGTGCGTGTGTGTGTGACAAAAGGTTTTTGCTTCTTTTCAGCACCCCCCACCCCCCTCATTGGTGGGCCAATCGGCACCTGTTTACAACAACAGTGCTGATCATTTTCAGTTCCATTGAAAGCAACAACAACAGCAGCACAGAGACACTTCAGCTTGAACCGCTTGAGCCGCGATTCCAATTAGATTTTTAAGCCAAGAGAATATGAACAAAAAAAGGTCATGCTGGGCAATTTTGTTGATGTTGTTATTGTGTTGTTGTTGCTGTTGCTGTTGGGCCCCCTTGCAAGTTAATGAGCGCAACGCGAGGCCTTTGCCACCAAATCTGCCCAACTTTAAGGTCGCCGCTCGTAAATGTTGCACACTGTTTCAGAACCAATTAAATTGATTAATGTTTAATAGAATCAGTGAAGAAATATAATAGTTTAGACAAATAAATATATAATTTTTGAAATACTATATATGTATATATGGTGTAAAGATAGAGCATAAATGAGATGTTTTTCATTTGACTTTAGTTTTTTTCATTTTCTTAGCGTTTCCCTACCAGGGCTTGGAAAACGTCATTGGAGTGTCTTTGCCTAGCATTTGAAAGCATTTATAAGGAACAATAAGGTTTCGCACTTGCTATAAGTATTTAAGTACTTACCTTGATTTTTCTTCTCTTTTCCTGGTGCTATCTACTTCACCGATTGCAGTTATGCATTTAAAGTATCTCTGACTATCTTAGGCTCAGCAGCACCATTGTTTTTAAATGCAAAGACTAACAATACAAAATCCAGCTATAAGAATGATTTTTTCACATATTTTCATTAATAATGTGTGCCGGCATTGGAATGTTATAATCCAAGAATAAATCGATGTATGTACATGCATACAAAGAGGTATAACATTATATTGCACCACTACAGTATAACCTCGATCCGTTAGCCAATGTCCGAAATACCGCAAACCCCCGTTTTTGGGAAATATAATTTACTTTTATAAGGTTTTCTTAATAAATTCCTCACATTTGTTTGTCAAAGTTACGTTTCATTTTTCTTTTCATTTATTCTCATTACACCCGAGACCCAAACATTGAACGATATACTAGAAAGCGTAGGCTTAAAATTTATGTTATACAAGTGGGTAGAATGTGAACCTTAAGGTATAGGTACGAACAGTTATAGACAAATTTCTTCGTTCGTCCGCCTGTATAAGCAACTTTAACTCCTAAACCTTAACAGCTAGGGACTATGCGATCGATAATCGGTAATCGAGCAAGCCATTTGTGGGATAGGACTAGAAACCATTCCCAAGGTCTTGAAATCGTGTTCCAAGAAAAACGGGAATATTGGTTTATTTATTCGAAAGATTCGAATAAATTTATTTTTTTTTTTTTTACTTTTTAAAAGAAAGCACTCATACCTTCTTATATGGTATGGCCATAAGCTATAAATGTTACGATATTGTAACGAAAATATATGTTTCTAAGATATCGGAAACCTATCATGAAAATAAACAAAGATGTGATAAAAGCCTATAATGAGAATGAATTGGTTGTCCGCTCTATCGAGATTTTTTTGATCCTTTTTCGTATAGTGTGGAACCAGTGTGCCTTGGCTTAGTGTTGGTCTTGTCAGCATCAAAGCGGCACACACACCTCACACACATGCGGCGCACACACACTCCCATCCATTAGTATGTTTAAACATTTATGTTTAGCTGTTTAGCTTTTTCAAAAGCTTTGCTGCACGCGTGCGTTGGCATTTAATATTTATTTATTGTTTTGAAAACGCGCACACATTTAAAGATTTCACTGAGACTGCAGCAACAGCAACAACTGCAACTTTGACTTACACTTGTCTTGCACTTTGCTTTGTCGCTTGCTTATTGACACACTTGTTGTTGTTGTTGCTGTTGTCGTATGCCCATTGTTGTTGCTGTTGTTGTTAACAAGCGTGCAATAAGTTCGGCTTTCATATATTTATGTACTCGTATATACAAACAACATTGAAATGGAAAACTGTGTCGACGCTTTTCTCACACACGCTCTTCAATTTAAATTCTACCTGCCCCCTTGTTTTTGATCAATTTTTAAGTTATAAAAAGTTATATACGCGTATATGTACAACGTATCCTCAACATACAGTTAAAACTTTCAATCATGTTGAGGGCTCGTTTATGGTCCCACCATTATAACAATTTGTCGTTCATTTCGAAATTTAATCTTTAGTATAGCGATCCAGGGTACTTCTTGACGTATCATTCCAAACACACAAACAATTTCAAATTATGGTGGAAAGGTTCTTAAAGAAATTAGTAATGTAGTGGCTTTAAAGAAATTTGTAAAAATTGCTAACAAGTCTCAACTGAAAAATACAAGTAGACTTTAAAATATTTTTAAGTAAAAAGAGGTCTTAACTGCAAAAATGAAATTTGTTAAAAATGTGAGTGAAATAATACGGAAACATAACTTTTCCATACGCAGAGGAAGCTTATAATAAAGAACAGTGATAACTCTCCTAAGCAGGACATCCCTCTTTTACACTGGTCGGCACAATTATTTTGACGAGAAGAAAATCATACATTTTTGTCAATAACTGGTTATTGGTTTAAGATATCAAAGGAAACTTTTTTTCTCAATTCCATATTGGTATTACAAACTTAAAAATAATTCAAAGGATATATTTTTATAAGAACTTTTAAAATTATAAATCAAGGTAATTTTCATGGGTTGGCATAAGTATTTTGACAATGGATATTAACAAAAAAAACAAAGCTTAATACTAAACAAAACATAAGAAATTGATGGTAGATTAATAAAATGTATACCCGCCTTTGGCTTCGATAACTTTTTGAAGACGTCTTGGAACTGAGTCCACTAAATTTTGAAGGACCTCTAATGGTATCTCTTTCCAAAGAGAAGTGACCTCGGAAATAGTTTCTTCTTCGGTTTTATGCAAAGACGCATTTCTTTTACGTTTTACAAGAGACCACACATTCTCAATAACGTTTAAGTCCGGACTTTGTGGTGGCCAATCCAGAGTAGTAACACCAACATCGCTTAAAAATGCTCTTATCATTTTGCTTTTGTGGCATGGGGCGTTATCCTGTTGCAGGATAAATGATTCTCCAATCAGCCTGTCACCGGAAGGGAATGCGTTTTCGTTAAGGGTACTCAAATATTGTTGCTGGTTCATTGAGCCGGTGATGGGAACGAAATCACCTAACCCATTGTACGCAATGCATCCCCAGAACATGACTGAGCCTCCGCCATGGCTCACTTTTTGACATACGGGGATATTTTTTTGTCTTTGAAACTGTTTTGATGAATTATATTCAAAGGAGCTTTCATCTGTCCATAGAACGCTTCTCCAAAACTCTTTTGGCTTATGCAGATGCTCCTTTGCAAAAGCCAATCTTTTGAGCTTGTTCACCTTTGATATGTAAGGTATGTCCTTCGCTTTGTATGTCTTAAAATCTTCTTCTTTTAGGCGTCGCCGAACAGTACGCTCACTGATTGGAGTCTTGGTCGACTTATTCCATTGATCTGCAGCAGCTTGCGGCTTTAAATGAATATTTTTTTTAAATTCCCGCAATAGGACTCGATCTTCAATGGGTGTTGTTTTGCGGTTAGCACCTGATCTAGGCAAGTTTTTGACGTCATTGTGGGTCTTATATTTGTTAATTTGATAGTGGACTGTTTGCCGCGACAAATTATATTCATTTGCAATGTCTTTTGGTGCTACGCCGGCATTAAACTTCGCCACTATTGAGGCTCTAACAACATAACTTAATTCTGTCTTTTTTACCATTGTATCGATTACTTTTGAATCAAATTTTAATGAAAATAATGTAAAAAGGTCAACAAAAATTGTTACACCAAAGTTATTTTAGTATCACTTGATAAAACGTACGCGAAAACGGCGACAAAGATTTGGTCAAAATACTTATGCCGTGCCTGAATCCGCAGTCAACTCACATTGTCATTTGTAGAAAAAAGGTGTGAAGAGTAATAGACAAAATATTTTGCCTACATATTGTTGTTGCTATGAACTCAATATCCCGTATGAAAATTGTACCGTTATTCCTTGAAACTAAAAGCAACCAGCACCGATAGTCGTGAGTACAGTTCGTCAAAATAATTGTGCCGACCAGTGTATCAGGACATCTCTCCTAGAAGGACACTTATTCTAGAACCTTTTTTCGATGCATTAAGTATTTAAGTTTGCCGAAGGTGTCTGCCCAAGAGAGTTTTCACTGTATACATACAAGTATATGCATCATTTTTTTGTCAGCGTTTAACAAATTCCTCTAAAGTTTTAATAAAATTGGTTTACTATGTCATATACATAGCTGCCATTGGAACAATCGGTGGGTAACTCACTCTAACTTAGTAGGATAAGTTTTTGTTTCTATTCTGGTATTTATAATTTCTGTACGGTATCTCGCCATAGTCTGCAGTTTCGTCAAAATCAGCTCACTATATCATATAGCTGATTGGTACGACAAAGTTTATTTTAGTTGTAAAACTGTAGGAAAGAAATTAAGCATTTAAATGTTCGCCTAAGATCGGTTTTTTCTTTCTAAGCCGAGCTTCCTTGTAGATGGAGTTTCAACTGCAAGCTCTTAAAAACAAATGAAGAAGGAAAATAATAAAAAGCAACAACATTTTTCTCACAGCCACAAAGTGGCTACAGCATCAACAACAACAACAACAATAAGAACAACAACCACATACGCGTGCATTACATTAAAATAATATTACAAAAAAAAAAAAAAAAAAAAACAGACTTGAAACAACAACAACGGAATGGGAAAATCTTACAAATACACTGGTCGGCACAATTATTTTGACGAACTGTACTCACGACTATCGGTGCTGG